GGTTGAGCACCGATCCGAAACGGACTCTTCTTTTTGCACACGGGGTCGAATAGAAGGTTTCTGCCTCCCCGCTGCTGTCTTGCTGAGGGAGATTTACCGTTATCTTCGCAACAGACTCCGAGATCTCCAGGTCGAACTGAGACGCCTCAGCCAATTCTTTCTCCTGCTGACCGTCGTCATCGTGTAGGTTCCAGATCTCGTCATCCCAGGCATTAATTTTGCCCTGAGCTCGCCGATGACAGCGAGAACGATTCCCGGACCACGGTCAGCGAGAAATTCCGGCGTACTCGAACCCAAGTTTCTTATTGAGGAAATCTCCGTTCTCACTTGGTTGCGAAGAACCGTTCTGTTGTATCGGGCTCTCTTGAGTGCTTTCTTTATGGTCTTCTCGTCGAGAACTTTCTGCTGGACCGTTTGATCGGACAGGTTGTCTGCGTTGTGTTGAGTTCTTTCAGTCATCGTGGGGGATTTGCGGTTGACGTTGATGAAATTCAGTTCCCCACGTAGGCACGATTCGTTCCTTGTCACGGCACCATGTTATTTCTTGGTCTTGAGTAGTCGTACGCTTACTTTTATGAATTTTTAGCGTCGCACAGTAGGAGAGTGACGATGCGTAACGTGGTTCGATCAACTCTGTTTTTATTGAGAGTGAGGGGGTGATTGGAATGCGCCGAGGCGCGAGTATTTCAATGCTTTCTGCGAATGATCTCTTAATGTTAATTGACAGAAGGGTCTGCGCAGGGATAATCGGAGCTCAGGTAGTCGTGAGAACCACCTCGCCATTCGCCACTGGAGACTGCTTCGTGCGCTGCGCCTCCGTCATTCTACTCAGCGATCCGTCGATTCCGGGCAGCAGGGGAAAGAAAGTGGGAAAAGGCTCAACTTTTATACGCGAACTCCGCGAGAAAACCGGAGTCGAATTCATCCGAGAGTTCGAGACGAGCGAAACAAGTAGGAAGACATTGATGGAACTCGTTGGGGAAGTATCGATCTCGGCACAACAAGCGGCTGAGGCGAATCTACGAGACTCCGACTCCGGCTCTCGTTCCGGGAACACGCACTGCATGCTACGGCTTTCTGGGTTTGAGTCTCGTACGAGCGACGCGGGAACCCGGCGAGAAACCGCCGAGTCACGGTGCTACTGAAAATCTGCCAGCGAGGTAAGAGACGGGAACCGACATATGCGCTCGTCTATAAGCGGATGACTGACAAAAGTAGCGATGAAAAATCGTGTGGGTCGTCCCAAGTTGTTGTCGGCCCATCATCAGCTAATTGCTCTCTTGAGGCGAGAACCCGTTCGCGAGCTCTATATGAAAGGGCTTACTGGCGACAATTATCCCGTGGCAACCGCGAAGACAACGAAAACAATGGCTTTTGTCGGACGCTCGTATGCTCGCCCCGTGCCATCCGACCACCGTCAATCCTGATTGGGCGCAAGCAGAGCGAAGTGCCACATTCTCCTCCTCCCCTCCGAGCTTCATGAGTTATTGGATTGCGATTCGAGTTGGCTCTGTCAAAAGAAGTATTATATCGATAAGCGTCGACCACGATCGACCGAATCGTCGCACCGTGCCCATTAAATGGCGTGAGGAGAAAAACACGGTGGAGCACGCTCGGCTCGATGTCGATTCGAGCAAAGGGGATTGCTCGCGAGTGAGCGGCTAGGGGAAGAGATTCTGGAATTAGTCCGTAGCTACCTGCAATCATCGCAGCGAGTTGTTGCATTGTTGGGCAAGAGATAAAAGAGGTATGTCAGTGTGGATGGCCTCGAGAGGCCCGCCGGGGAAGAGAGTAACCAGAGAAGAGATGGACCCATCCCGGAGCAGGGTGGCATAAAAGCGTCTGCACGCTTGCATTGACCAGCGATGGAAGTCGAAAAGCTCTCAAGGCGCCTTGTTCTTTGAGAGCAAAAATGGGATATGACGGGCAAGTGCTACAGAAGCAACTCGTGTCTTTTTCCAAACCTCTTCTTCTTCTTGGATTCTCTGGAGAAAGCACCGTACTCGAAAGACCTGGGACAAAAGAGACGTGGCGAGCATCAGTTGGTGGTTTGAAAGGGATTGCAGATCGAGGTAGTCCCAGGATGGTTCGATATCGCCGGTGCCATCTGTCCGACAAAAATCACATTCGGAGAAAGATGTTCGACCCCGGCCTTGGTGTTCGAGGGACGTGTAGCTGGCTTTAGCTTCCTTCATGTTCCCTCTGACGCCCTCCTGCCGTTGCGTCGATTCATCCTTCGAGGAATTCCCCCTTTTCCCCTGCGTGGAAATGTGGATTGATCAATCGATGGAAAATCATTCCGGTCTGATGATCGCCCTAATTTTTTGTGATGTCGGGAGCGATCAAAGCCGTGTATTCGGGTGGGAGACTCGCTTTTTGAAGACCATGGAATAATTTTCGAAGTTCGCCGCTTGAAGGGCTCTTGCTCCGGCTGGGAAGTTCGGAAAACGCTGAGCGCTCAAGGTGAATGCCTTGAGATTTCGCGCATCAAGGTGACAGCTGTAGTTCATTATCGGACATGTTCCTGGAGCTATCTCACTCGTTTGCCGCATTGGTTACCTTCGTTCAGGGAACGAGTCGAGCATGGACGGTTCCCTCGTCTCGCGCGAGCGGGTGAGCGAGGAGGGTGCGCTGCCCAAGCTGTAATTTCAATTCTAGATCGCGCTCAGTAGCCTCGACGTCAGTACCACGACGTGGTACGTACGACGACGACGATGACGACGTCATTGAGCGTGTGAGAGAGAGCTGAGGGGAAAAACAGCGATTACTCCCTCCTCTTCGTCGGGTCGAGCGGACCGTCGAGCGGTGCATTGCGAAAGCCACAGGCGGGAAGATCGCGAGCATAACTCTGTCCCATTTTCGAATTCGCGCTCGGACGACTCTAGTGTCGCTGAGGAGTCATCTTCGCTTCTTAGACGGTGCATGGTTCTAAGGGTCGTGGCCACCGTGGCGACAACCGAGGGCGGTCATTCTGAAGCGTAACGCGGTCAAGCTTAAGGGTAACGACAAGCCGCTGGGAGCTCAGCTGCTGCGGGCACGGTCGGGCGGACCGACTGCTCCGCTGACTGGCTTGCCGGGCCGCTCAGAGAAAGGGTGTGACTAAGGACCCAGTCGGGATTCTTTTCTTGCTCAAGGATCCTCTCATACAATTACGCCAAGCAGGCTCATCAGACAGCATAGGGCGATGTAATCTCATATCTCAGCTGGACAGCTTGATTGAGCAAGGAAGTCCTGCTCCTGGCTCAACGTTACTCGTTCGTCCTCCCTCTCTCTCATCGCTTCCTCAATCATGCTTCCTCTCCTGCACTCTCTCTTGCCCCCTCTCCCCATCCCCGGAAGGTTCGTTCCCGCCACCTCCACGAGTCGGTCGGCGACGTAGAACATCTGGAATCGTTTCTGCTGTCAGACGACTCGCAAATATCGCGACATACATAATATGTGTTTTCCTCACCGATATCGGGAGCTGTATGTATACGCTGCGGGAAAAAAAACGGATGCTCAGCAAAGGCGAAAACCTGGCAAAAGCAGAACACGGGCATCCTACATTCATTTTTCGACTTGCACATGTTAGTCTCCTCGTCGATCCTTGCCGATAGACATCTGGTTTCTAGGTGCATCGAAAATCCGAGAGCCGAGCGCTAATTAGACGGACAAAGTCGACGGAACCCCTCATCCGCGTGTTCCGTTCGACAGGAGTCCGCTAAGCGTCATAAACCCAGCCACTTCGATGTTCGGCTCTGAGGGGGATTCCGTCGCAATGGAAAGTGTCGCAAGTCACTCTCCAATGGCCGAGATCACACGAGTTCTGTCGTGAGGCAGCAATCGCGTCACAACAGGTTCCGAGATCGTTGAATAAAATCAGAAACTCTCTCGGAGACGAGCACTGCACAACATGTCGACACAGAAAGTTACGTGCGAGGGGGCATATGACACTGCAGAGTTTCGTACCGGAATCTGCCGCTGTCTAAATGGAAGCCGTCTTTTGACGCAGACAAATTGAGTTCCGTCCGCTGCTCGCGCAGGCACGGCTCATGCCCGGATCGTGGTTCCCGAGACGGAAGAATGGTGGAAAAAGTTTGACTTTTGTTGGAAGCTCTAATTCAAATCTTGGTCGCATGGACGGTGGTACTGCCGGGGAATAGAGAGACGAGGGAATCCAATTCGCTTTTATTGAGACAAATGGACCATAAGACAACATTTTATTGGTGGCGCGGAACGAGTTCGGTCAGCCCGGCGGGATGGATGTTCCTGAGAGTCGGCGTCCATAGTTGACTATCTGTCGGCGAATATTGTCATTAATGTACCTCCGACGTGTGCTAATCATGATCTGAAAACTTTGAACGCACTTTCAAACTTCATCCGAAACTTAGGGTCTAGCCGCAAGCCGAAGCACGAAACTTCCGCCGCGGTCGACTCGGGTACGAATCAAGCGGCGATGAAAATAGATATTTCATACTTGAAAGGAGTCTCGAAGGGCGCGCGGGGAAGGGCAATCGTTCCGCTCAAGCGCCGAACAAGTCGCCGTATAACGTCAACAGATTGAACGGGGGATTTAATCTTCCGTCAGACGCGAGAGAGCACACACACACACATCAATAAAATCCAGCGGTTCTCGAAGAATATATTTCTCATGGCGATTGTATCTGTATGGCGATAGGTTTACAATAAGGCTCGAGGCGGCCGAGCGGAGCGGTTCCAAGATGTAATGAAACACTCTCGGCTCCAAGTTTCGTCCAACGATGACTTTCCTGCTCGGAAAATGAGCGAACGACCGCGAAGGAAAACGAGCGGGCGTAATGTGCTTCGAGGACCACTCGGAGAATCGTTCGGCCGAACGTATCGACGTCGTCGTGTTAGCGATCGCGAAAGCCTTCTTATTCTAATTGCGTTTCCGATTTATCCAGGGATCTGCGGGCGGGAGTCGAGATGGCGGCACCAAAGGAGGATGGCCCCGCGGCGGGGGTCCTTCAGGAGGCGCCGGCGGCTCTTCAGGAGATAACAACACCTTCTACTCCAACATTGACTCCATGCCCGACATCCGGCCCAGAAGAAAGTCCATTCCTCTCGTCAGCGAACTCGTAAGTATCGAAAGCTAATTTTTCGCATACGGATGACCACATTCCCAAGTCGGAACCCACATACGTGGGTCGTCCGTAAGAACTCCAAAACATCCATATCCACTGTGAACTAGGCGCCCTCCCCGAATAGAGTATCGTGTAATCATCGCGAGGTCTGTCCTCTCGGTTCGCTCGACTGATCCTCTGATTGATGTTCTCCTGTTCTGATCGACGATTATCGAAAGTGACAAACGATCAGTCGATGGGCTCGTCGAAATTCTTGGAAAAAATACTTGATGAAGAGCCTTCACCCTTCCTTCGAGAGAGTGGTCAGCGCGTGACGATGCGGTGCGTGGTGCAGGGAAAAATCCTCGCTCGACCGACCGTGTTCTCGACAAATCTCTTTGTCGTTCCTACGACGACATCGGATCATGGATGTGTGGACTGTGTTTACCTAGGCGTTCCGATATCTGGGAGTTGTTCCGAACATCTTCCGAGAGAAGTAACTATCTTAACACACATTCGATTTTCTTTCCGCCTCTTCAACAACTTCGATGGGTCTCAGGTGCTCAAGGTATATACTGCCACGATTACCTACGCTCTCTCTAAAATTTGGTTGATCACCGCTGCGAGTTCATGCTCAGACGGAATGAATGACGCAACCGCCAGGAACGCTTTTTTCGACTAAATCTGCCCTAAAGCTTGCGCCTAATATATCTAGCTGTAGCCTAATTTATCTAGCCGTCCATGTTTCTTCCTACTCCCCGGTGATGTATCTGATCCAGTCTCTCGCGCTCTATCGCTCGACACCATCTAATTTCCATCCATTTCTGTCTGCTTCCCCTCGACCAAACTGTGTCCATCTAGTCAACTAAGTAATTAGCTCCACGCGTACCGGCTACAGGCCGCTTTCCCACCTACCTCGCTATTTCACTGTCAATTCAGCCGCTTTCCTGCCTCCCGAGCTGATTTGTCATCCTACTTTAGATTCTGAAGCTTCCAATGGAAAATCAGTGTAGAGGTTCTGACAGCCTATTCGATGCTAGAATGGAACTAGATAGATGCCCAAAGCACCCCGAACGCCACTCTGCCTGTCTTCTCAAATCTATCAAGCAGCAATCTCGTTCATGATCGGTACTTCAGAAAAAAAAAGTTCCCACTCCGGAGGACAAGAGCCATGCGCCAGTATCGGTGAGGAGGCCGCTTCCCTGCGGATTATCCAAGTCAACGGGTTTGCCGAAATCCCTCCATGACCCAGAGTCCTCGGCGTGGGATCCGTCGTAGGTCGCAGAGGCTCTCGCCAGTCTTAAATGATCCGAAATCTGAGGCCGACCATAATAAGCTGTTTGTCCGCCTCGCTCTCCGCCTCCTGTCTCTCATCTCCTTGTCGTCCGTCCTCCCGCCGCGCCGTGCGGTCGCTCTTCGTTGTCGTTCGCCCCCCACTTGCGTGATTCTCGCGCCGCATTGCCTCTCTGAGCGACGAGTTGAGTGCGTCGGACCCAAATGGACCTCATGGATTTCCGCCCGATTACGTCATTGACTCCCTCTACAGCAGTAGGCATCCGACTTCGGCTCTATCCGCATTCCGTTCAATGGGAGAAGCTTCTGCTGTGATTTCTCCTGGAGTCGATGCTCCCGCATCGTGCTGTCCGGATTTATTCTGCGAATCTCTCTCATATCGGACGATGCTGAGGGAGCCGTCACGGAGCTCTGTAGCAAACAATTCTAGCGTCGATTAGCAGCCGAGTCCTTTGTTAGATTTGTCAAATCCTGACAGGTATAAAGGACGACTCCGAGTTCCGCCGAAGACGGCGAATGGCTCTCGAGGTCGCATCGATTTGGCAGTGCCGAAGGCTTTCGCATGCGTGTCGACGACAGAGATGAGCGGGAAACAGCCATTGTGAATCGACCATTCCAGGATCGATGCGGAGAGCTCTCGGTCGATCCGTCTGGAAGGCGCCGGTCATGGAATTCCGCAGGGCTGTATCTGAGAGTGGTATTCAAGGAGGTTGGGCCGCGTTTTTCAATTCCGTTGTTGCGATCGAGCAACTATGGAGTGCTCTCTGTCTTACTCCCGCAGCCTTCTGCTCACCGCCTTATCGACGATGAACTCTCATGAGATCAAGCGAGGCAGAGCGGGACCGGTGAAAATCGAAACGCGCCCACGCTACCGAAACTCTATACACTGAGCTTGGGAAGAATGTTTGCAACTGAAGGGGCCGGGGGGAGCTTGCATGCGGGGCAGCTGAGTGGCCTTCGGAGGAATGACATTCGTATAGAAATCCGGTTTTCGAGTCTCCGCTTCCCCTAGCGTAGACATCCGCTGGAATAGAATTATTATAGTTGAAGCTGCGAATCCGTGAACCGTTTTGGCTTTGCTCGGGGGTTGGAACCATCAGCAACAACAGACACCGGAAGTCGTAGAGCAAGTTTCATCGTGTTGTCGTTGTTGCTTTTGGGGATGTAGTTTCGTATGTCTGAGCCGGAAAGCTTCGAATGCCCACTTTAGATTCCGCTGCGAGAGGTAGTCGCGAGGGGGAAGCCGATGCTGAAAAGTTGTGATCTGAAGCTTCGTTCTCCTTCCGGCGAGAAAGATTCAATGAGATGAACCGGATCAATTAGACCCGATCAGAACTTTTCCACGGAGCTTCCCCCAAGTTTCTGTTTTTGCTCGGTTGCCGTCAATGTGATCACGTGCAGCGGTCACGAGGCTGACGAGGCATCGATTGGACGCAGTTTGTTTCGTTGCTTAAACGCTATGGTGAGCTAAATCGCGACTTGTTCCCCTCTCGATATTGGCTTTTCTAACCCCCGTCCATCTGCCCGCTCAATCGCCAACACAGACGATGGCAGCTACGAAACGAGCCGGTCTCACACCGGCCGTGACCAGGCCGTCCTTGAATGATGAAGAACTCAAGATGCACGTCTACAAGAAATCTCTTCAGGCACTCATATATCCGATCAGTAGGTCAGTATCTCTTTCGGACCTTTCCACACTGAGCTTGGAGAGATGATAAGCAAGAGTGGGAACGAGGAATGGGGCTCCAGAATATCGATCCCCCACAATAATCGGGGGCTGGGAATCGGGAACGCCTCGATGGCTGGGCCACAAATGCTGCTGCCGCAAAGCAGCTTGGGGAACACGGCGTCGATTTTTTTGAACACCAATGAACAACCTAATGGTGCTAATCTATTCCCTAATTATAGCACCACTCCCCACAACTTCCAATCGTGGACCGCAACGTCTCCCACTTATTGCTATGAATGCGAAGGACTGTTATGGGGGATCACGAACCAAGGACTTCGATGCACAGGTTGGTATACAATTTTTTGAGCTAATGCTTTCGATCTACGCTCGTCGATACTCACTAAAAAAGCGCATCTGATCGATTCTCTGACTTGCTCCTATTATGTTCGCTAATCGAAAGAAGAATCGATTGCGACAGAGAATCTCTTGCCAGCGTACGGTCGATTCGCTCTCGATGCACCAGTTCGGGGAAGAAGAGCTCTCGTCGAAAAAGGGACAGTTAATGATGACTGCAGGGGAACGACTTCCAGAGAAGCCCGGCTGACGTACATATTCTCCGATTCCAGAATGCGGTGTAAAATGTCACGAGAAATGTAAAGATCTGCTTAACGCCGATTGTCTCCAACGGGCAGCTGAAAAATCCTCAAAGCACGGAGCCGAAGACAAGGCTAATTCAATAATCACGGCGATGAAAGAACGCATGAAAATTCGCGAACGCGACAAGCCCGAGATATTTGAGCTGATCAGGTACGCTTCGATTTCCTATTTTGCTCATCAATACTCTCGATCGAGTTCCATGCCAATAACTAGTTGTTTTCCTGAAGTACAATTTTCACTGGAAATTTTATGATTTTTCCTAGGGAAGCAAAATTTTTTATTAGCCCGGAAGAATTTATTCCGATAGATAGACGGATGAAAGATAGATAGATGGATGGATAATTTGTGTGGATGGGAGAGTTCATCTGAGCGGACACTAACCGGGAGAGCGATACCTCGCGGCGTGTAGGTGCGTTTTCAGCGTGGATATCAAAAGTCATGCTGGACACCTGAAGGCTGTTAGGCAGTCTGTTCTCGACGGCACGAGCAAGTGGTCTGCGAAGATCGCAATCACCGGTAAGGGATAATCGTCGCGCGGTTCGATCCTGACCGAGCGGACGATCGAAAGAGCGAACGACCGATCAGGACTATTGGGCTGTCATGCCGGTGTGCGCACGATGTCGTTGTGGATACGAAGCATGAAGGTGTCCTGCAAGCATTCGTCACCAAATTGTGAAACACAACCGCGATCGGATATCCCAAATGCGTCTCTCAGGGCCGCATCATCTTCGACATCATACCGAACCCTCCCGGTCCCCGTATCGCCCCATAGCCCCCAGTCCCGAATTTCAAGCGTTCCCGACCGGGTTCCACTTCACCTCACATCACTCGAGACGGAGGCGATCCGTCGCGTCGAGCCGATCTGCCCTTCTGACTGTCGCTTTAGATGTTGTTATGTATGGATTGTGTATGTTCGAGTGTTTGCACCCACCCTGAACCCTTCGATGTACCCCTTTTTTCGTACAGGCTAACCTTCACGGTGGACCCCGACACACATATTGAGGCCCTGCAGCAGGCCGAGGAGTCCATATTCGAGGGAACCTCCAACTGGGCCTGCAAAATTGCAATAACAGGTACACTAGCGACGCACCGTTCATCGTAGCAGTCTTTACGCTACGCTGCTGCTGCTACTGCTACCACCACCACCGTCTCTCTTGTTTCCTTCTCAAGCAAGCTAGCAAACTGACAAGCGAGCTGGCTTGACTATAGAGCGCCAATCGGCCGGTTTTCGCTGCGCACTATCTCTTTCTCTCCTTAGGGAGAGTTCTTCTCCGTGCACATTACTGTAGAGCATCGTAGCGAGTCCGGATCATTCGATGCGGTCCGATTTTTGGGATCAGAACTGAACGGAAAGCAGTTTTTCTTTGTGAAATTCTTCTTCGCTGTTAGACGGCTCCGCCTGCCGACCGAGAGCAACACGAGTCAGCCTCGTCTTCCGCGGAGGGTGCAACGGTGGCGGCGGTGTCGACGGCGAGAACGGCGACTGTATTCCTAACAAGCGGGAGCATGTAATACTAAGTTTCTTAGCTCCTGGGAGGCCGATCAGTCGAGAATCGCTAACAAGCGCTGCCTGGCGCCCCTAACTCGCCCGCCGCCGCCGCCTATTCCGTCGGACACCCACCCGATCAACGTGAAGGCAGACCGAAACGGCTGACGCTCCGGGGCCAACCTTAGCCGCTCCCGATTCTCGCTTGTCTTGTGTCTCGGACAGAAGCATCTAATTGGCTCCGCGAAGCCTGCTTTGTTCTCCGCGTCGGTGCTGTCCAGCAGAGAACACGGCATTCCTATGAGACACTTAGCCAATGCAGCAGCATGGCAAGTCGAGGATCGGGGTGATGTACCCCGAGCGCTTCCCGTTGTCGACCACGGGGATGAGCACTCTCGAAAAAGATCGAAAGCTCGCAGGAGTCGCGAGAGCAAGTTTTTCACAAAATCTTAGCCGAGCAGAAACCACCCACTACGGGCAGTCACGGTGCATTGGATTTAGTCGCTGCTAGACAAGAGAGCGTAGAGCAAATGATGACGAAAACAAGAGTCTGTTTTCCCTCCTCTCGGGAATCACAAACCGCGTCACCCAACCGGTGATTCTTCCTGATGACTTTCCGTCGAGCCCGTTCTGCTTCTTACCGTTTCTCTGCTGCTGCTGGTGTCGTCGTCCGGTTGGTCCGATGCGCAGGATTCCTTGCGCATAATTCCCGACCAAGACGGGAAAGACATCCACTCTATCAGCGAGCAGTCACTCAGAAAGAAATAGCGACGGATGTCGTTGCCTTTTTTCCATCCTGCTCAATTTCTCCCTCGTATCCAATGTCTACGACCAGCTGAGGACGCAGCAGAAGCAGTGAAAATACCTTCCAGACCTCGCCCGGAATCATTCCCACACATTTCTCGTTTGGTCTCATCGATTGCTTACACGATATTGATGTCTCGCACTAGACGTAGACGACGGCTCCGCCACTGGCCCGAATCTGTCGGTCCGAAATGCCTGTTGACGATTCGTACGCTTCTTGCCGAACGTGCACCGACACGGCCTGTTCGGACTCTTCCGCTCGTGTGGCGCTCCGGGTCGAAAGCCCTTCAATTTGCTGTGTCCGTCGATCCGCGTCCCGTTGATTCGCGCAAATTGTGCTCGAACTGTATCTCATGAATATTTTCCTGAGCACCCATTCTCGGGAGCTTCCGGATTCTCCTCGCTGTACCGTATTCTATTTATAGGTCGCATCAGTTGGGCTTTGTAACGAATTGTTGAATTCTGATCGCCTCGATCGCTGCCTTCGCAATCTCCCGTAAAATGCGGATTCTTCGGAACGCCCTCGCGGTCAAGCACTCATTCCTTCAAAATTCTCGTTCCTTATCCTTGTATCGCGAGCGCCGCCTATTGCCCGAGCCGGCTCGGCCATACGGTTTTTCATGAGAGTTTGGGAGTCAGGAGGACTTCAGACGAGATCGTTACGTGTCGTCTTATCGAAGAGCTGGAATCCCACGATAAGTATCACAGAAAGAGTGCGACGTCAATCTTCCCCTACTCCTCCACGCCCCCCCCCCCCCCTATTCGTTGGACATATCGTAGTCTCGACTGCACGGTAATCGTTATTGTGGGTGTTGCCCCAACGCTCGCTTTTCGTCTGCACGCCCCATGCCCGTCTCGCTGCATGTTGACGAGGCTTTTGTGAGTTTGCATGCTCGGTTGAACAGCGGCAGCTCGTTCACGAAGATTATGGTGTCGCGTCGCAGCTGCCGCAGTTCTCATCAAGTGATCTCGAATTTTCAGTTATATGTGCGCAGGGTCTGATTGCCAAAGATAAAAGTGGCACAAGTGACCCCTACGTGACAGTCCAGGTGAGTCACGATTGGATGCTTGCCGTATCAGACGACTGTTTCCGAAAACCTCTGGGTTTCATATTTCTAAGTCCTTTTCTCTCATAATACTCACTTCAGGTTGGGAAGACAAAAAAGCGTACACGCACTATGGCCAGGGATTTGAATCCGGAGTGGAATGAAAAATTCTATTTTGAGTGCCACAACTCTTCCGATCGCATCAAGGTACGAATCCTGACGGCCGATCAATGGCGTCGGAGGCATTCTGAGCATGATCTCAAGCTTTCGATCGCGGGGCAGCTCACTCTGATCTTGCGGCTCACGGTTACAACTCAACTGCATCACGAGATCCGAGTCCGATTATGACCGCTACTGGAAGCGATTCCGCGGAGCTCTAACGATCTACGTGGAACCCCGTGAAACTAAACTGCCGACCCTGAGGCGGGCTGAATGAGAAGTGCGGACCCAATTCAAAGACTCTACCGTTCGGGTGGAAGAGAGAAGCTCGAATTCGGGGAAAAAAAATCAAGATTTCGGATAGGAACGTCCCGTCATCGGGCGGCGGCTTCCGAACAATTTCCTGATTTCGCAGTCTGCGAGGCCCGAGAGAAATTTTGGAGTTGTGCTCGGAAAGATGGAGAACAGGAGGGATTAAGGGAAACGCGCAGAATAAATTAGGCAAGCGGGCGACAGAGGACTAACAACTAATGGATTCGCGGCTTGACGTGCAGGTGCGAGTTTGGGACGAAGACAACGACTTAAAGTCAAAGCTACGGCAAAAGCTGACTCGGGAATCGGACGATTTTCTTGGTCAGACCATAATCGAAGTGAGAACTCTCTCGGGTGAAATGGACGTGTGGTGAGTATTTCCCCATCCAGAGTTGATCTTGACATGCAGCGCGTCGAACTAACGACGGGGAGAGGGAGCGTAATCGCATTATCTGAGGGACTGGGTCCGCGCGGCCGACGAATCTTTTTGTGCAATTATTCTTTTCAATTCTCCCCGATTCGAGAATCGTTCTCCCATGTTGATCTCTCAGTCGCACTCTCGGATTGTTTCCTCATTCGGCCGAACGCACCACGATCGGAATCGAAAAACTTTATAAGCTTCGTTCAATATTTAAACTGTCGTAAAGTCAGCATCGTACACGGGCGGCCTTTCCTTCGCTCGCGTGACCTATTTTCTGACTCGGGCACTCGCGCTCACTTTCTCATGTATGTCATAAATCTTGTCTAAAGGTACAATTTGGAGAAACGCACGGACAAAAGCGCCGTTTCGGGCGCAATCCGACTCCACATCAGCGTTGAAATCAAGGGAGAAGAAAAAGTAGCCCCGTACCACGTCCAGTACACGTGCCTTCATGAGGTAAAGTATTTTGCTTTTCGGCCTCTCGCCCCACCGCGAGGATCAAAGGAACGCTCGACACTGATCGAGTTCGAGGATTTCACACCGATTTCTCGGAACCGAGTTTCCTTCTCGTTTGGTTTCTCGCTGAGATTGTTCTCAGAAGCTCAAGGAGAATTAGCGGGACTTCGGCCACGCTACATGGGTTGATGACGATTCGATTCCTTTGCAGAACTTGTTCCATTACCTCTGTGAACAAAACTCTGGAGCGGTAAAGCTACCAGACGCCCGAGGAGACGAAGGCTGGAAGATCTACTTCGAAGAAAACGCCGAAGAAATCGTCGATGAATTCGCCATGAGATATGGCATTGAGTCGATCTATCAAGCGATGACGTGAGTTTCCGCTGTTTTTCCCCAATCGGTGCTTCCGGATTCTCTCGTCCGCTGGCCAGAACTTTCTCAGCTGCAGCAGCGGCGGCAACGACCTCCTTGAGGACAGGGCGCTTGCGATGAATGTTTCGCAGCGTTCGGACGAGTTTCCATCGCTCGGAGCGGGACAGTCTGACCGATCGATACTTTATTTGCATTACAGTCATTTTCACTGCCTGTCGACCAAGTACATGTGCCAGGGCGTGCCTGCAGTGATGAGCACCCTCCTCGCCAACATCAATGCTTACTACGCTCATACTGCGGCTTCATCCGCGGTATCTGCCAGCGACCGGTTTGCCGCGTCCAACTTTGGTGTAAGTAGATGCCTGATCCGGTGAAATTGATGAATCCGTCGGTCCCGATCCATCGACCGAGAGCTTCCGACTGTAGAACTTGGTCCGCATCAAACGGACAGGCGGACGTACGGGCGGGCAGACAGACAGACGGACGTACGTACGGACAAACCAACCAACGGACGGACGGACGGACGGACGGACGGACGGACGGACGGACACTTACGTCCTTCTCCGAGACCAAACAGTCGAGCTGCTTGAACGTCGAAGAGCAGCAAAAACGGAAGCGGCGGCGGAGAGCCTGGCGTTTTAGTTCAATCTGTGCCGGTTCTGATGACAGCGCAAAAAAATCCTTTGGTCGATCCTGTGTGCCCGAGGTCATCGGGAAGCCCTCGAGCGTGCTCTTTGTAGTTGGCTCGTGAGGGTGGCCATGGCGGAGCACAAGTTGACGACTCGATACCGGCCTGGATGGTTGATTTCCTAGGTGAGCTCGGGCGGCTGCCGCATGTAGAGCCGCTCCACCACAACATTACGACCGCGATGAGCCGGTCTCGCTCGTTCAGTCGTTCAGAACTGGCCTTTATTTAGGGTCCACTATCTCTCGTTCTGATCCTCCGCCCGCCCAACTCGGCAAAGCGGATCCACTCGAGTAAGTAACTCTGATACCTCTGATGATGATCATGGCAGCGGTGACTACGACCGCGACGTCGGCGACTTCGAAAACAACGACGCCAACGTCAACAGAGGCATTACGCGACGGTTCCAGGTTCCACTTATTGCTTGTTTTGCCAAAAACAACCTATAACTTGCGGACGTTCGACCGCCTTGGAATCCATTGGCATGATGATGTCTTGCTCCGTTGACCACGGGGGCCTGGGCGGATGAGCAGCGAGTGGTTGCTTGGTCGGGCGGACGGGCGGCTGGTCGGTCGGTCCATAAAATTTATTAGGCTTGAGCTCATCGTTTTTGAGTAGCTGGGCTGTTGCGTCTTCCGTCCGGACGATTCTTGACTTGACTTCCTTTGGGAGACACGCGCCGAGCGTATCCTATCGCCTGTGCAACGGAGCACGTTCGCCAGTACAGCGAAAACTCAGCTTTTCGAAAGCACTTCATTGATCTCATCGAGACAAACATACCACTCGGGGTCCAACGATCCGCGCCAGTTCTGCTCGCAGCTCCGATCCCAGACCCGCTAGTTCTTCCTCGGTATCGGCTGTTGGGGAAAGGATTAAGGGACCATGGGGAAAATACGGTTATGGAAATCGCGAAGATGAGTCGGTGAGTTTTTCTCGAGGTGAGGGGGCTCTCTGGAGCTCCGAAGATGCTCCTGCTGCTTGGAGTTATGTGTGGGGTTCTGAGTCCCGGGACTGAGCCGGTCGCAATATCGCCCAGGATAAGCCCGCCGGGAACTTGGTGTTTATCAAAGATCCGATCAGAGCACCCGGGAAGACGTCTGAAAGGGCGGGCTGCCTGCCGCTTCGAGCCGGGCGGAGATAACTCGATAGCAAGAGAGCAAGCTACACCCGTTGAAGAGAATACCCGTTTGGTATTCATACGGTTAATTTGTTTCCGGGATTTCCGTCACGGTTATCTCCTCGACAGTCTCGGCTCGGGCGTCTAGAAACGGGACCGTTGCGGATCTGAGATGCCTGATCCCGGAAATGGCTTGCCGACTCTGGAGCTTTCCTCTGGAACGTCGCGAATTGTGAATCAGCTCGTCGGAGTTTTTTTCTCGAGCGTCGTTTCCAGAAATCGGAACCCTTGCCGGAAGACGTCATGGGAGAATCTTCGTGACTCGAACAAAAAAAAATCGAAACTAGCGACCACACGGATCGAGGCGCCCAGGACTCGGGGCGTATCCCCCTACTGCCCCGTCTAGCTGATAGGGATGCACGGAGCGTCGTGTACACCTAGCAGACGTGCATCGACTGACGTGTGCGTCAGTCGAAGCCGGTTCAATGGTGATCTTTTACCTCAAAAACTGTGACCGAGTCAGCCACTTCCCCCATGAAAACGAAGAGCTCCTCGGATCGCATATCCGACCGAATGAGGATTTTGTAATATGGAAACCGGGACCTCATCGATCCCGTGTCTGGATCGTTTTCAAGAATCTCAAATTATTCAAGCAACGCCTGAATATTATTCGAATCTCGAGCGAAAGCCTTAGCTACATACTTATCCGTTATTCATCTCGTTTTGAATCTTCCTCCACAGAAAGAGAAATTCGTCAAACTGCTTGACCATCTGCACAACTCACTTCGAATTGATCTGTCGATGTACAGAAACAACTTCCCTGCGTCCAGCGCGGAAAAACTGCAGGACCTTAAGTCAACTGTGGATCTGCTCACATCAATCACGTTCTTCCGCATGAAGGTGAGCGGATTATCTGCTTCATGTATGGCATGGACCGGGCTTTTCTCCCAATTTCAACGGTGTCCCGAAAGAGGTCGATTGCGAGCTAATGATCTTGCCCTCGAACAGGTCCAAGAGCTCTCAAGCCCGCCGAGGGCGAGCACTGTGGTGAAAGAATGCGCCTCCGCGTGTCTCCGATCCACTTACCAATTTTTGTTCGACAACTGCTACGACCTATACAACCGAGAATTCCAGGTAGGCATAGCATACTGCTCCTTACGTGTATCATACAAGCAGATACCTTCTATCGATCGGTGGGCGTCGAAAGACTGTGGCCGCTGCGAACTATGGTGTAGAGCTCCGATAACGGTAGAGAGCGCCATAGAAAACCTGCATGAGCAGAGAGGAAGTCGGCGGCTTCACTCAGTTTTAGGCGAGCTCAAGGAACCTCGAAATCAAGGGAGCTCTTGAAACTCTACTGCAAGTCAGCTGAGAAACTATGATGTATGAGAGGGAATGAACAGCGGCGATCGAGCCGGCCGGAAGAACGGCTGGGTTTTTTTCTCGAGTCTTAATCGTCCTAATTTTCTCGCTCCGCGGAAACTCGTCATTTACTAAACGTCGTCGCAGGCTGCCGCGTCGAGGGAGCAGGAGTTCTTTTAGACAGTCTATCCATTATTTTCGAGTTCTTCGCGCCCTCCGAGCTCTCCTAGGGTCATTCTTGACTCTGGGTGTGTAAGTCGGAGTCTCGCGGAAGAAAAAATTCTCTCGAGTCCCCTCGCCCGAGCAGAAGGAACAGAGAAGGAGACGGAATTCGCAATTCGAATTCGATTCGAGATCAATATACTTCCCTCCACAGGTGGGTCCTGGAGAAGAGAAAAACAAAGACGAACAGGGTCCGAGTTTGACGGATCTTGATTTTTGGCACAAACTCATTGCGCTGCAGGTGAGTTTCAGACGTCTTTTTACGTTCCGAACGCAATCGAGTCTCGGAAATCCTGATACTGCTGAACGATCGTGTATTTGGAGTGAATAGCAGCATCTTTATTCGGGATTTCTTCTCGAAAAATTAGCATCGAAATGAAATGAGTACGCAGGCCTATGCTTAGTCGGATCATTGTCCCCCATGCAGGTCTCTGTAATTGAAGAAGACCGTACCAGTTATGCACCGGTTCTAAGTCAGTTCCCACAAGAGCTCAATATCGGCCAACTCAGTGCTTCAATAATGTGGAGCATGTTTGCAATCGGTAAGTTTCGCACAGGGGGCATGATATAAAGGGAACCTCCTTGTTCCCCAAGGGCTGAATTATAGATATTATGAACGTCATAATCTTTGTCGGTCCGACGTCTTATTACGATACATGCCTCGGAGGGTCGTAGGAGGGTTGTTCTCTCTTCTGGCCAGGAACCGTACTGGCTCCATGTCGTATGAATAATAGATGTCTCTCTGAGAAGCCGCCCGATACTAGCTCATCATTTATCGTGTTCGTTGTAGATATGAAAGACGCCCTCGAGGATCACGAACAACATCGTCTGTGCAAATCGTCGGCGTACATGAACCTGCACTTCAAGGTTAAATGGTTCTACAACAACTACGTGAGCGACATCGTACCCTACAAGGTGCGTTCATCACTCGAGCAACGCGGAAGCGACCGCAGCGACGCTTCCTATTCCCGATGTTTATTCATCGGATTCACTCGGGGCGACTTGAATATTCTTTTGCTCATTATCATCCTCCCCATGCTCGAATCTAATGATTTCACTCTGACATGCAGGACTCCGTTCCCGAATATCCGTCTTGGTTCGAGCCATTCGTAATGCAGTGGCTAAATGAAAATGATGACGTATCTCTAGAGTATCTGCACAGTGCTTTCCTCAGGGACAAAAAGGACGGGGTAAGATTCCTGTCCCATTAATGCCTTGCGGCAGCCATGCTATCGCGTTGAGGAATTTATTGAGTAGGAATATTTCCTAAGAGAAAATTGCTCGTACAGTTCCAGCAAAGTTCAGAACACACCATGTTCTCGAACTCCGTCGTGGACGTATTCACGCAATTGACTCAATGTTTTGACGTCATCTCGAAGCTCGAATGTCCCGATCCAGAAATCGTGAAAAGATACATGAAACGTTTTGCCAAAACCATAGTAAAAGTACTCACTGCGTATGCGGACATCGTCAAGAAAGACTTCCCCAACTACGTTTCTCAGGTGAGCCAAGTCACTCGGGTGAAAACTCGGAGAAGATTCCCTCTGAGGCAGCGACGGAGTCGCACGCGACGAAAGGGCGGATTCGCGAGAAATTGATTTACTCGGCAGAGGTTAATGGATTTCGTTTTTTCCCTCCGTCCGCAGGAGAAGACAGCCTGCATCCTGATGAACAACATCCAGCAGCTCCGAGTTCAGCTGGAGAAACTATTCGAATCCATGGGAGGCGAGAAACTCGAATCCGACGCTTCCAACATTCTCAAAGAACTCCAGCAAAGCCTCAATGGGGTCCTTGACGATCTGAGCTGCGTCTTCGCGACGAGCTTGGAGAATACCATCAAACAATCCATGAGTGAACTCAATCAACTCCTGTGCGCCATAAAAGGTGAGGACTACTTCGCGCAAAGGGGGAATCCGTTCCTCGCGATCCCCGCGGCGACTTTATGTGATCTTCGTTTGCGAGTTCACGCGCGTCGTAGCCAATGGTAATGTCAGCGCGGGTTTCGCCAGCTCGGGGCTACTTTCAATGCAGCCTACTTTTGCGAGTTCACGGAAGCTCTGTCCAACCACCGCAGAATGCGCGGCTGCGTCTCTTCCCTATCCTTCTAGGGAAATGCGGAGCTTTGAACAAAAACTGACCCCCTATGGGCTCCTCGCTCCGGGCAGTTACGCCTCGCGAGTTTAGCTGTAGGCTCGCCAAGTGTTGACAAGCGAAGGTATCCATGCACTTATCGGAGTAAATTGCAGGTGGAGGCAGCGTGGCGCAAACGGCGCAGCAGAGGAACGAGGTAGCGGCAGAGGCCGACCACGTTCTTCACCCGCTCATGGATATCTTGGACGGGAAACTGACGCTGTTTGCGCAGCTGTGCGAAAGAACCGTTCTCAAGCGCCTGCTCAAGGAGCTGTGGAAAATTGTCGTGCACACCATGGAGAAGACCGTGGTGCTACCGCCTATTTCGGAGAAGAGCGTGCTTCCTAATCTGACAAACGTGAACGCTGCAAAAATCGAGGACATGTCACGACTCTTCAAGAACTCGATATCCACTTCCAACAAACTGCCGAACCTCGGCGTTATGGAAGTGGAAAAGAATCTGACGCCGCGTCAATGCGCGGTGCTGGATGTTGCCCTGGACACAATAAAACAGTATTTCCATGCCGGGGGAAACGGTTTGAAAAAGACCTTTTTGGACAAGTCTCCCGAGCTGCAATCTTTACGTTATGCGTTGTCGTTGTACACGCAGACCACAGATGCCCTAGTCAAGACCTTCGTGGGCTCGCAGCTCAAACAAGACCAGCCAAGCACGGAGGAAGGTTCCGTGGGAGAAGTGAGTCTTAATGATCTAGATAGTAATTAGATGGAAGGTTCTATCAATGATCCGATTGCAGACTATGGAGCAAAAATCAGATTGGAACGAATATCAAAATGTTGAGAAACTAGCATTACATCTCGTGCTAACTTTCTCCCTCTCCCGCTCGAAAAGGTGTCGGTACAAGTTGATCTGTTCACCCACCCTGGGACGGGCGAACACAAGATTACCGTTAAAGTGAGTACTAGAAGTGGGCCCCAGCACCTGATTGCGCTTTGCGACAGCATCTGACAAACATACGAGGCTGTACGACTTCCCACTCGATCGATTCGAAGACTCTGTGCTCTTCCTAACTTCGATTCCTCCCCACAGGTTGTTGCTGCAAACGACCTGAAGTGGCCGAACACATCGATGTTCCGACCATTTGTTGAAGTGAGTACAGAACTTTAATTTATTGCTACTCCGTGGTACCGACAATGACTCTTCGCTCTCGTGAGGATATTGGAAGCCCGCTCTGAGGGCTTCGCTAAACGTGAATCGGAGGGAGAGGCATCGTTGAGTCGCACGCTGTCCCATGGGAAAGAGCCGCGTACGAATCGCGGATCGCGAAGTCATGCTTCGAAAGCTCGACAGGCTGCTGGCTCGAGGAGTAACCGGGCTTCTCTCGATTGACGCGGAACTCAATACGTCGTCTTCGGTTTCAGGTTAATCTGATCGGCCCTCGTCTGCACGATAAGAAGCGCAAATTCGCCACCAAATCGAAAAACAATGCGTGGTCACCGAAGTATAATGAGACGTTCCACTTCATTATCGCCAACGATGAACAGCCAGCCTCGTACGAGCTGCATATTTGCGTGAAGGATTACTGTTTCGCCAGAGACGATCGTCTCGTCGGCGTCGCCGTCATGCAGCTCAAAGACATAGTCGAACAAGGTGGGACTCGCTATCCGCTCTGAGAGTCTTTCCGATTGAATACACGCGATCTGTGAAAGCTTCTCAATGTCCTCGATCGAATCGTTCGGAGCGGGGAGAATAAGACAAGTGCCTTCGTTTCAGGTTCGTGTGCGTGCTGGCTGCCTCTCGGTCGCCGAATCCACATGGACGAGACGGGCTGGACAATACTGCGCATACTATCTCAACGAAATAATGACGAAGTGGCCAAAGAATTCGTTAAGCTAAAGTCTGAGATTCGGAATGATGAGACGATCCCGAAGTCGTAAAGGTCTCATCAGCAGAAAAAAAATGCGATCTCGTGATTCCAAGGCCTCGAAGGGCGGTTTCCAAACAGAAGGAGATGAAGACAAACGAATACATGCACAGACTGACGAACAGTCAAGGACGCTCATGCATTCCGTGGCACTATGAAACGTCTCAATACGAACAAGAGAACATGCAAGCATTGACGCCAAGACACACTTTCGGAAGGAAAGCTTCCATCGATCGAGACAGGTTGGAGGCTTAACAAACGCAGTGAGGACTGAGTAGACGCCTTATCCATTGCAATGACGGAAGCGCTGAGGGGGAGCCGAAGTGTAACCCGAGTTGTGATTTTTCAAAGTGAGCGCAGTTTAAACATAATAGTTGGACATTTCCCATGAAACCAAGCTTTCAATTACCTAAGACTGAGGTGGGTACATAAGGGACATGAACTCTCGTCACTCGTCACGTACAGCAGAGCTAACCTCAACTCGAGGGGAGGCTTCTGCGAAGTTACCGTTCACACACGTTCTGCCAAACACGACGAGCACGAGTTTCTCAGTCCTTTTAGTAGACCGGCAAACTAGGACGAACCTTTGAGTACCTTGTCGAAGGGGGACACTTCCTCCTCCCGACTCGTTATACCCCATGACCGGAAGATTTTTGTTCCGAATCGTTATGTAATGAGAAGATATCTCGTTCTCTAATCGCTCAAACGATGTTGTTGATATGCGACGTAAGTCTCTCCGAAGGGAAATACCCTCGGAGTAGCTGGGGAAGCTCATTCAATTCTCTGAGATGCTACTCCCGGACTCGACGAAGAGCGTCAGACAAGTTCACGAGTGAAAACAGCTAATATCTCTCAACCCTACCGAGTCTGATTGATTCAAAGTCGCTGATTTTTTAAAGAAGAGATTCAGCACGAGCCCGACACAACACCCTCACTCGAATGTGAAAGCTGGCGTCGAAACTGACTCTGTGCCAAAATCACATGAAGGAGACAGAATATCAACAGATCGCTGGATCACACAGATCGGAGTCAATCTAGAAAAACTCTACACGCACTTCTGAAAAATTGAGTCGAATACCGGCCAAACGATCCCATACCTCGAGAGGGTTCGTTGTTCTGCGGCCCAATCCCAGATTGTGGATCCGAATTACGATAAAAATCAGATATTCTGCTGCTGTGACCTTTACCGGCTGGCTATGGACGGAGGGATCCAAAACGACTGATCGGCTTCGAGGAAAAACAAGATCGTTGAGCACTGACATTTGGTGGTATCTGCGGCTCTAAATACGAACTTTCCATTCAATCGGGAGGGTCGATCTCTCGTGCACAACCCTTATGTGTGTGAGTGTGTGTGTTTGTGTAGTAAATGGTCCAAGTCGATAAAACGACCAGTATGAAAGCTAGAGAACGCGCAGCGAATCTAAATCGCGCATCGAGATGAAACCCCAAGTTCAGGTCGTCGGTCAGTTGTTGATGTCAATGACTGGCCTCCCGCTCGGATGAGACTAGCTCGTGCAACCAGAAGTCGCTCAGTCATCGAGAACGTCTGGTGAGAAGTCGCTAACGATTCCTCTTCCACTGCAACAATATATTGATGGGAGTAGGTCGTTCGAAGAGCAACACTGACAAAGAATGAGACCACAGCTCGTAATAAGCCTCCATGATGTTTGTACATGAATACTTAGTTTAATTATCGCTACCATACGATACTTATCACAATTATGGTTATTATTACCATCATTGTAGCTAATAAGTCGACATTCAATTGGACTATATCATAATAACGTACCATACACGACGAGTGGATCACTATATGCTTTCGACTAGTCGGATAAAGAATGAAGAAAGACCAGTATCACCAGGAGATCAATTCGCGCTCGAGGGCGACGCGAACAAATGCTGTGCTTTTTGGACGTCATATGAGAGGACACTTTGTCCATCGCTTTAAAGCGGACGAGACCCAAGCAAACATTTAATGCACCATCCGCCGTGAATTCACCCCTTTCGTGGGCAGCTATTATCTTTCTCCCTTCCCGCATACCCTCCTTCTCGGTTTAAATTCAATAACTTTCAATATCCTGCTGAAATTCGTCCTGGGCATATCTGATTCCAAAAGTGAGTCACTCGGAGAGTTTCAGCTCTCGAGCGATCACAACTCACCCGGTTTGGCGTATGAGAGGGTTCAGTGTCTGAGTCTGAGGATAGAGGATGCACTCGCGACAGTTTGGCTTCGCACCTTTATGCCGCTCCACGGTTTTGTCCCTCGATGTACGGCCTGCCCGCCCAATTCTTGTGACGGCCCTCCTTCTGAAAACTTCTTCTTCCCACGGATTTTTTCCCCATGTGACATTCTGCTCGAGATGAACAAACCGGCCCACGATAGGTGCACGCAAATCCGTGCGTCCCACGATATCAGTCCCTTTCCGCGGCTGATCCTTCGTATGCGAAGCACACTGGTGCGTCAGGAGCTTTCGCTCATGCATTAAAACTCCAACTCTGCCATTAGGACAGCGATCAGGCTCAGCAGCGCGATCCGCAATGTCTGTCCCATAGCTTGGAATTTCTATGCGGGGCATTTATCTGAGACGAGAACATATATCTGTGTCCGGACCGCTGATTCAAAAAAAGCGTTCCTATGATTCATGGCTCGAGCGAGCGAGCAAGCAAGCATATCAACATGATCGCCACACCGCGCGTGCATAATTGGACGTTTGCGTAGTTCAGGCAGTCATCGGGCAAGCCTAGTTCCAGAAGAGCGCACCGTAGGTGGCAGAAAGATTAGGGAGCGAACGGTATCCAGTTTACGAGATGGCAGCTTCAGTGGAGATCTGAGACTGGGAGATTCATTTATCAACAACGTGGCTGACATCACCTCCCATTCTGTGGAACCGGATTCCCTACCGCCAATCGACTGGGTACACTGCAGTATCGTGATTAGATTTTCGAAGCAGATGCATTGACCACAGCAGAAATGATAATTGCACAGTTTCTTGTTCTTCATCTCGACGCGAAGCTCACGAGAAAACATTTATTTTGTATTTTTGCTGCATGGATTTCTTCCCTCAGAGCTAGAGGTAGCTGGGTGACCTTTACCCATCGAACCCTCTGAACATGCTCCGGTAAATCCCGCCGGCTTGGTGAGGGATTCTTTTCTAGAGACGATTCCGATTTTACAGCGGATACGCAAACTGCGCACGGGAACATATCGGGATTGAGTATTTTACTCCTTGAAATTGTTTGGGTTGTACTCTGTTGACTTCGTCGCTAATCGATTCATCCAAGCCGTTCTGACTACAAGTGTCTTAGTATTCCGTTTCATCATCAATGGACGCCTGTGCGTATTGGCAAGTGTAAAGCTCGCTACACCGAAGTTCCCGCGGTCTGTGGAAGACTTTGATGAACAGGCCCCGCTCTACGCAGTAGCTCTGGTGGAGTGTCTGCATTTAAAGAAAAAAGTCAGTGAAGTAGTCAGCCACGCGACGCGTTGTTTTCCCGCTATCGAAGCCGAATCGTGGAAACGTGCCGGAATTCCGGAGAATGACATGCGAAAAGATATATGGCTGTGTCACTGCGAGTAAATGGTCTACATAATCATCACATCTCATAACTTCGACCGCGTATGTTGTCTCTCGTCGCACGTGAAATATTGCACCTGCTAGAGTAGTTTGTTCAACGCGATGTCATCTATGCTTGGGTACAGAAACTGAATTGTACAGGAAAGAGAAATAATTGAGCAGTTCCCGTTCGAGACGATTCGTAATCGCTCATTGTGAATCCTGGATATCCAAGTAATTTAATGTTTGGGGATCGACGAATGAGCGTATCTTATCAAAGATTAGCCTGGTATGAGTGAGTTTCGTTGAGTGGAGAAAGAGCAATGGTTATGCAACTTATGTACCTAAATAGCCTTAACGAACTGGGAGAGGAGGTCGGCGGGAGGAGTTCGACATCGGAACGCTACTTGAGTGAAGTTGAACGACCCGTCCAACCACGACCCCTCTCGACCGAAAAGCGGTGATCGTGTTGACGGATGGATGGCTCGATCGATGGATCGATCCAAGGATCGTTAGTACGCGAAATCCCGCCTTCAGAACGACAACGTATCTCCGGCATGCCGAAGTACCACTTTTACCATTGCTGGTTCTGAGTTCTAAAGTGAGATAGGGTAAGATCACACATTGGAAGGATTAACATTACTATTAGTGAATGATTTTTAGAGTGCTGGACACTGGTGATGCCGCAGAGCCGCCGTTTTTCGGTAGAATAGCTTGTTAAGAGAACTCCAACGCCGATCGATTCCGACGATATCTAAGTGTTATTTAGGTAATCTAAAGGTTGATTGGAACAATACGGACTTGTTGTCCCGAATGCGAGACTGTCCCTCGCGACACGATGCTCTCTGATTTGTGGCGACCACGCGTTTGGTGACATCTCTTCGTTCTGCGAGTGTGCCTCTGAAACCTTCCTCTCACAGAAAGAAAATCTTCCTGGACATCTGGATCCTAGATTCAGCGCATTCCTAAAGAGAATCGAATAGCCCGGATCGCGTTGTCGGTACCGAGTCTAAGCGGACATGTACAGGCAATTTACAAATATACAGATGTCACCAAACGGTGAAAGGGAATGAAGCCGGTCATTCGGTCTATTCTCGCTGTATTCGCTGAATACGACGCTAAGTGTCTATAGAAAATAAATGTAATTATAATGGAATTCATTTGGAAATAAGGATCGAGTCTTTACTTCTCAGTTTCGTTCGTCTCCCAGTCAAAGCTTGGGTTTCACAGACAGTCGTTGATGATGGAGAGAAAGTGTGCGGAGAGGCTCGCCAACAACTTGCAGTCATATCAATCGAGTCAATACGTCAGTCCGTGAGTCAGTCACCTGCGACGCGTAGCATAGCGATATTTCAATCTTGGACGAATTCAGAACCCGCGTCTCCTCGGATCGGGCACCGGGCGGAGTTGGAATGGGAGCGACAGGAGATCGACATCGAAATCGATTTTTTCCTTACATCGATGCTTCCTCTGGGAATGTATTCATGAGGATCCGCTACTGGGCCCAAGGGGGAGGACACAGCATTCCCTGTGCAACTCATCGAAACTCTCTCTGCTCAAGAGAGATTTTTTAGCTAAGCTTGTGGCCAACTCCGCGTAATACCTGCGGATGTGGCACGAAATGAATAAATCACCATCCTCAATACTGCTCAAGGAACTTGGCGGGCTGACTGATAGATCAATCGATGGATTCCTTTTGACAATCACCCGTTATGATCCTTGGGTAACATCATATGGAGTAATTGGATCTCTCCGACAGGTTGAACGCCGAAATCGATGTTTTCCTTTTTAACTTCGTGGTAAACTTTCCGCAGTTTCTTCCAGTCCTCAGCGCTGAATGCCCGCCTACCCCGGAGCTGTGGTGGATGATAGAGAATTGAATACCTCTCTGCTCTTCGTTCGAGTTTCCCGTAGAAGATGCGTCACAGCACATGGAATACCTTGAATAAAGTCACGTGGGTCGATAGCTCAGCTCTGTGTAGGAGAGGGAGCTTCGCTGTCTTCAGGAAATCATTCAGCTTGTCAAAGACTGCATTGATGTCGAAACCAGTGGCGGAAAGCTTGGCGAGGTTTGGAAAAAAAGAAGACAGTCAAAATCCCTCGCGGAGAATATCAAATAGCATTCTAGCCTATTTCTGCGTCTGAGCTGGGACTCCACAAACCTTACAAAATATCACTTCTTGGGAATCGAAGTTATCGATATCCTTCAAGTGCAGCTGGGAGTTCTCGAAGTTTGACAACGCCGGCGACGCAACTCTGTGGAAGTCCTACATTCAGCCAGATCGTCGCACGCTCGACCGTGAGCTCGGCCGATTCTCAGCGTTTCGAGAGTGTGTGTGTCGAGAGACAAGGAGTGCACCGGGGCGTGGGACATTCCTTACATTTCTTTGATGTGTTCCTTGAAAAGAGCGCAGATCTCTCCTATTCGATCGTCGTCTATTGCGGTGAGGTTCAATGTGACGTGGTGTTTCCTGGTAGACTCCATGTACTTCTCAGCCTTCGGGAGTGCTTCCACAAATCGTCGCTGGACCTTGGTGGGAATTCGGGGACTTCATAATATGTACAAGAACTAGGGACTGACTAATACGTTGAGGGCAAACTCCGCACGGTCATACCTCGCGGACTTTCGAATGTATCTGCGGATCACTGATCGGAATCGCTATGAACACGTTTGGCCTCGACCTTGAATCAGGATTTCGCGGCATACTCCCAGCCTCGAGTGGTCTGGTGAGAGCAAAACGTTCCATCGGTAACCAGAGAAGGATATTCATTCAAGAAGATTTCGCCTCATTCTCGATGCGCGGGATTCACCTCCCGATTCGCTCTCCAAGTCCCCGCGCCGACTCGACAGCAGCCACACCGCCGATTTTCTTCGGTTTCATGATGAACTGGCATTCATGGATGTCCATGAAATACCCAGAGAAGCTCGATATATCAGTCGCTCGCCAGGATCTTTAAATGTCCTCGATTCAATTAAAATCTTATTTCAATACCTTTGTAAAGTCAAAATACTTCAGCTATTTAAAAATTCGCATACATACGGATCTTTGTTTACATACAGTAGAGGGAGGCTTCTCGAGTGAAATGAAAAAAAGTTCATTATCAAAGCGCGCTTACACAGACGACGACTGACTACTGTTATTGCTTCTTGCTATGTTCTCTCTGAGTGAGAGAGAAGAGACGACGACAGCACACACCTCTATTTCTCGCCGAGATATCCGAGCCCGCGAAATTTCAAAATATATCTCGAGCATCGATGCTCCCGGAATAATGAAACCTTTTGACTTATTCACTCTTGACGAGTAGTTCGGGTTAGGTGATAGTAATTGATAAATAAGAGATCACGTATACACATTTAGAGTTGTATCACATGATCAATGGTCGCATGCGCTCCAACTGCTTGCGTCAGTTCTCCGTTCGCGCCTAATCTTCGCAGCGAGCTGAAATATTTGCACTTCGCGGCGTGGTACCGACTACAGCTTTCCCACAGTCTTTGCACCGGCAGATTTCGTTCGGCTCGTGGTAGCCCCCGGACAGACATTTTTTGCGGTGGAATCCATGTATCGCGAATCGGGTGAGGAGATGTCTATTTCTGCGGTCGAGGCCCTTCCATGTATCATCCGTCATTGCGCGGGTGCTGAAGAAGTCGTCGTCTATGTCGGCGAACTTCCCTTCCCATGTTCGGAGACACTCCTCGTACGATACGGTTTTGACTAGATTGAGTGGTTTCTGGAGATCCTCAATGAGCAGGCTCGTGTCTGCTAGGCGGTAGACCAATCTGTTCGCGGAGGATCGGTGGAGTCCCATCACTCGCTTGAGGTACACGGCCTTGGTACGGTTTATGTCCTCCAGATTTACCTCACTAAGGTCGTTTCAAAGGATCTGGATGCCGTACGATGCTGTGGGCGCGATGGTGAGGTTGAACAGACGAATGGCGGTCTTCATGGAGAGCTTCTGGGGATCCTTGATCGAAGTCATGGCCACTCGCGCTTTCCTGCATCTCTCCCTCACATGCTTAGTGCAGGACCTGCCGTCTGAGGGTAACGTGATTCCGAGGTATGGGAAATGATTGGAGTACCTCAGCTCCTTGCCGTTCATTCGGAAGGAGTCGTCCCTTGCTAGTCTCCTCCGTCGGTCTGCCGAGTGCTCTTTGCACATGGAAGTGGTCGCGGCCGTATACGACAAGGTCGTCCGCGTACGGGAGAGTTTTCACCATCTGTCTCTTTCCTTCCACCGCCGAGGGGAGATCTTTCAAAAGCACGGAGAACCCTAGCGGGGACAGAGCTCCCGGAATAATTATATTCTGAGGATGACTCCGGAGTGTACGGATTCCTTCGGAAGAGACTGCTCACGTGTGAAATGCAATTGAATCAACCCAAGCGGCTAGATCTTTTGCTTGTCGTACGACTCTCTCGGGGAGTTACTGAAGTCCCTCGACTCCGATTTTGGCATGATGCAATTTTGGGAAGATTATGGCATAATGGCATTGAAGTCGTATTGAATGGTCGTCGCTCGATCCGAAGCGAGAGTCGGACTCTTTGTAGTCGAAGGCAGCCATCCCGTGCCCTGATATTTGGAAAAATTTCATCTGATTCACGGCGGGCCAGGTTGAAGTAGCGAGCAGCTCCTATCACGTTCGATCGTTGCCTGCTTGGGGGCGAATGAAGATCTTGGTCCGGTATGGGCGATTTTCCTTCCGGACCATTCTCTTATGCGAGGAAATTAATACCGATAAATTCTCCGAGCCGTGCCAAATGCCAAACTCAGTCGCAAGAGAATGATTCAGCCCGTGAAAGAAGCTCTTTCCAATACCTACGCAAGACGGTCTGATGATGACTCGGGATGTAAATTTTCCGCGGCGAGCCTTCGCTGAAGCCGCGGTGAAATTTCGTGGACTTCGCGGTGAATCTCGAATTCCCCTCGGGAATGCAATTTTTCCCTCGAAAACGCGATTCTCGCAGCGGAAGCGCATGAAGACTCCATCCTGGACTCACATGTGCTCCGCGAGTTTTTGTTTCGTGTCAAGTCCTGGACCAGGCGTCTTTCCGAGACCGTGGCGTAGCTCAAGGCTCAAGCAATATCCAAGTCTCACCGAACTCTGTCGGGGATCGGATTCCGGTCGATTTCCAGCGCCTAATTTCCCTATCAGGAATGAGTGTCTTTTGTATTATTCGAAGGGAATCCGATGGAGTATATAAGAATATCGCGGGCACCGCTGGAAATTGCCGAAAATCGGGTCACGAAAACCGAATCCGACTTCAGAATTATCAGACGAGCTCTAGTTTCCAACTCATCATGGGTGTCAATGCGGAAAAAAAAATTTCCGCATTGATTCCTCGCTGAGCCAGAGTTGAGTTTGATCTTCTTGTGCGCTTCGAGTCCTCACTGAGTTCTAGCTTCGAAGCAGAGATCTCTTCTGGAGACGACGCTCGCCAAGAGGGTTCCTGACAGGACTCTCGGAACGGCAGAATGTTTGAACTTGGTCAGAGACATGAATGGACATGGTCAGAGAGTGTGGGAAGAAAAAGAAGGTGGATGATGAGAGCGGAACAGGACGATCCGGCGCAAAGGATGATTCGGCACGAAGGTGGATTCGGTGCTAGATAGAAAGTATCCCTCGCTTAGCGATCGGAATGGAAACATATTACGGTAAAGAAAGAATACTGATGGATTGGCGACGGAAAAGTCAGAGTGAAGTCGAATTTCGCGACCGGGTTCCCCCAGCCAACAGACGGATCACTGACTCGCTATTGAGAGCTGTTCCTACCTCGAGTACACGATCCCCATCCGCGAGAATAACAGCCTGAGGATCGACGCCGAGAAGACTAAGGGTATGAAGTTCCGGAGAGGGAGCCCGCTGTGAAACCATGACGAGCTGAACCTGACCGGGACCCCGATCGAGTTTGTGAGCCGCTTCTACTACCTCGGAATCGGCTTCACGACTTCCGGCCTCAGCCCCACGCGACACTTCGAGAAACGTGTTGCGAGAAGCATGACCGCGATGTCCTCCATATCCCATCCCCCTCCAGGCTCTCGGTTCGGGCAGCCCCCTAGCTATCCGTCCCGATGGTCGACTCGGTGGCCCCTCTAGGGCACTCGTGTGACGTGGAAGAAGTTGTTCACGGCAAGTCAGGCTGATGTCTTGTTGAGGGAAAACCTGAGGATGCTCGACGAAGTGAGTGCCACCTTCCTGAAAAGAGCGCTCTGCCCGACCCGGAACGCACGGAAACGCCCAGTGTACGCTCAGTGGTTGGAGAATCTTAGTTTCGGTGTTAGCATCACTCGGAGGCTGGTCAAGCTGCTGACCAGTTCCACTGTGGATTTGTTGATCTGAATGTTCTTCTCGGCTCGCGCATATGCCTCCCCCGAGTTGCTGAAACGCATGATTTTGGTCTCGAGGACATTAACGCATGTTGTACTCCTAGCACCATTGAGTTGTTCGTCTCGAACAGCTCCCGAATCTAGCCTGACGTCAGTGCCTTAGCGGAGTCTTGAATCTCGACATGATGTCCCCTGGCGCTTGGAAGCAGGCGACGCTACCGATCTACGCAGGTGGCTTGGGAGGTCCCTCTGTCGCGGATCTGTCGACATGCGCGCACTTGGGCTCGTTGAGCCAATTTCTGGATCTGGCGTCAAGCATCTCTCCTCCGGAAGTCGCGGGTGACGGCCCTTTCGCAGAGCTTCCGGGACCGTTGGACAACTTCGCCCGGGGAAATCTCGCAGGCAAGCCTGGACAAGTTCGTCTTGGTGGCCCGTCGCTCCGAACTTTCTCGAGCTCTCCCCGGTCTCATAATTCGTGATCCTTCAGTTTCGCGAGAGTTCCCAGCACTGCTGGAGGGATCCTGCGCGAGATATACATGGTACCAGCGTTCTGGGAGCTTATGGTTATCGTTTCAGCGAGCCGTAGACGATTCGACCTGACTGCAGGTTCCCGCGCGGCGCGATGTGACTAACACGCGAGTCCGTGATGCACTTGATGTCGCACTGTTCGCACATCTGAACCGACGAGTGGTCGAGGTGTTAGCGCGTTTGTCACTTCTCGTGCATAGCCGCAACGACGCCGCTCGTGCGGAAAAGGTAATCACCATGTGCTACAATTTCGTGTTGGTTTTCGTGCTGGTACAGCCGTCGCTGCTGACGTAAGAACTTCGAATTGGGGAAACCTTGCCTGGGGAATCCGATATCCCACGCGATTCAACTCGCTATGGTGTTCCGCCGAGAACCGAGAGCTATCACTAGTTATCGACTTTCCGCGGCGCAGTTCGCTTGCGCACCACGTGGGCCGGACTTCTCCCGTCTGTAGTTCAATCTGGAATCTCCGCAATCATCGCCTCGACTCCCTCCCTGCCACTTTGCGGGGCGCAGAACATGTCGCCAATGATTCTGCCCCAGAGGAGCGGTCCGCAACCGAGAATTTCTTGAAACGACAAGTGAATTCTCATGGAATCCATTGCCTATGAACAGATCATTAATATTCGGTCCGATCTCAGTTTTTTGAGCCCTTTCAATGCCGATGCCACTACACCGTGTAGAATCTGCGCGAGGCTATGAACGATCTCATCCTCATCTGACGCGATATTTGGCGGGTCGGCCCTCTTTAGGGGCGGCGAAGCCGTCCTGAGTTAGGATTCCCTGCTATGTCAAGCGGTCTCCCATCTCGTTTTTTTGAGGGACCCGAGCATCTAGAATCCATGTTGCGTCTAATCAAGTCATCCAAGAACCCTCGTGATCAGGTTTGATCCTTTTTGTACGGGATTGACCGAATAGGAAGTTCGACTTGATCTAATTCAATCGATCCTGCTCGGTATCAAGGAGCGAAAAATCCGTGAATACAGGGAGAGCGGAGATTGCAGGGCGGAAAGAGAGGCTGGCCGATTATTATGTTCCGGCGTTGGCTCCATGACTCGAGATTTCGTAGGGGCCCATGATGATTCGATGACCACTGAGAATAACTCTCACCGACAAATCGACCACGCTCTGTATACTCGGAAGCGGTTTCGAGGTTCAAGATGGGATGAAATGCTTTCCGCATCGAAATTCGAAACACCGGTAGTTCGAGGTCTAGCGACAGCGATGAGGTCTGCTCTACGAATTTACGCCTTTTTTCACGGCCTGTTTTTCATGGCGCTCGGGCGATACTGGTGAAACATGCTAATCATTGTCAGTCGGATGTCGGAGCTCGCGGGGGCTTACACGAGTCGCGACTGATGTCGAGCTATTCATCCGACAGTCGTATTCACGCAAGGTCGAATCCCGGATGAAAAACACCGCAGCGAATGCTCTAGTCTCGCGAATGATGGTTGATCGCTCATCGACAGTCGGGTCCGGGGCTGCCTCGAACAAGGGCGCGGAAGCATCTCGTGTGCGCCACATGAATACCAAATTTGGAACGTCATACTCATCCTTCTTTATCTTTCAGGGCCTGCCCGTACTCGAGGCAATGCCCACCGGAGCAGCGAGTCGAGCACGTGCTGGTGAGTACATGATGACATTCGTCGTGGAGACCAGAGCTCAAGGCAGATCCAGTCGAGTGGCCTACACTTTTTCGGTAGCGGATGTGGAAAGGAAGCTGTGACGAGCGGACCAGGTCAATTGCGTATTCACTTCATCCGCACCATACTATCCTTCCCAACAGATAAACTATTTCCCTTAACTATCTCCCCCACTCCCCCAGCGAGACCGGAGAGACTTGTGGGAGAACTTCGGATTGAGGATCCATATTTATCTAATCCCTTTTCCAATCAGTATATTTTATGGCTGTAATCGATCGCAAGTGTCTCCAGGAGAGATAAAAATAGACCCATAAGAAGTCGGGCCGCGCGCAGATAACAGAGCCATACACACTCAGTCAGCTCTACGCGGTCGTTCACGACAGCTTCTGCCGCTCACGGCGCCCCGGTCAGCAGTCAGTCAGGCAGCCAGCTGATGATGGAGAAGAGTAGCTCCTGGGATTACAGTAAATCGGAGAAGTATCGAGTCGATCATGATCGACGTGGGTGTCCTTGACTCGCTGACTTGACTGACAGTGTGTGCGTGTCGGCTGCTACTCTTCTCCATCATCAGCTGGCTGACTGCCTGACTGACTGCGGGAGAAGTTGTCGTGAACGACCGCGCAGAGCTGACTGAGTGTGTATGGCTCTGTTATCTGAGCGCGGCCCGACTTCCTGTGGGTTTATTCTTATCTCTCCTGGAGACACTTGCTGTCGATGACAACCATAATATACACTGAAGGGAGAAGGGATTAAATAAATATGGGTCCTCGATCCGAAGTTCTCCCACAAGTCTCTTTGGTCTCTCTGAGGGCGGTCCGTTCGTCACAGTCCCCCCAGAGTTCCCGGAACAGGGTGTCGGGAATTGACTGTCATGGACCAACGCCACGCGCCAATCGCTTGAATTTGAAATGTTCCTCTATGGAGAGGGAAGAGCCGAATAACGGTGGATGCGCGGTTGGATCGGCCTTTTCTTCCGAGCTTCCGATGTGAACAGTCGTGTTATTCCTCGAAACAATGGACGCTCCACGTTCAAATGAGAAAAGGTGAAATTCTCCTTGAGTTGGTTTGTATTTCTCTCTTATTCCCAAGCTCCTGTTCGAGTACGGGTTACTCGACTTGTATCCCGCTAGGCGGGTGAACAAGCTCTCCTGTCTCGTCTGGGAATCCTTTGGCTCCGCGAGGCAGTCCCGGTATCGCGCCGCCTCGAGGCGTGCCCAGCTCGGCGGGGCGCGGTAGCGACCGGGTCAGCTTGGGCTGGCCCGGAAGCTTAAATTCTGCGTGCCGCCGCGCCGTCGAAATCTTCACGTGCGGGAGCCGCATGCGGTAGGCCTTGAATTTATCGTCGGTTATATCTTCAATTCAATGAAAACATAACCGACGTTACCCCGCATTCTGAGATTCTCCATTTGCGGCTAATAGCTCATACTAGAATCATAGCTCATACGGAGTACTCCAGTTTGGCCGATTCAATGGAACTCGACTCCTGATATGTCCGGCGGCGGTGGCAGCTCCGGTCTATAGAAACTTCAGATTGTTCGCAGATCTCAGTATTGCTCTCGCTGATTCGATCCCGGGTTCGATGCTGACTTTCGACAGCCCCATTTTCAGTGGGGAAGGAAGGGGTTTTCTATTGATGCTTGACAACATGTCGATTAAGGAAATCCTTCATGTTCATGGACTTGAATTCTGCGGCTCTATCACATTTATTCTGACTCTGCGAACCTAATGCCCAACCGAAGCCAGCTCAAGGATTCGGTGTGTCTCATCTTCTGATGGCACATTCTCATCTCAGAGGAGCGAGGCGCGGGCACTGCGGAGACTACACCTCGAGATAGAAGGTTCTGATTCGGCCAATCGGATTCCTGAGCTGGTAGCGCTGCGGCGCCACCTGCTCAACAATGGTCCTTGGTTCCTTTTACTTTGGAAGTAACTCCTTCGACAAACCCTGCCGGATCTTCTTTTTTCCGTCGAGACTGTTGAAGCTGAGCAAAACGTACATCATCACAATGATCGAGTATCTCATTTCAGGATCCGGGGGATCCAGCACTGGCGAACGGATGTCACCCCCCCGTGAAGACCGCTTGCGATGCACATGACATGTGCTACTACAAGCAACTACGCGGAGAAAAAAGAAAATTGTGATGACGCCTTCGAGTAAGTGACGGTAATTCGGTAATTGATTTCCAGTACCAACAATACCAGTGATAATTCCGCCTCTTATGCGAGCTCGCGGTCGTTCGGTGACTAGATGCCAAGTTGGTCTAATCTCCTCATTTTTTTCAGAAAACAAACGGCGCTAATCTGCCAGTCGGCCAGGAGGCCGACTGGCTGTGCCTGGGAGGCGGGTCGCGGTTTTTTTTTGTTCTTTTTCACAGTGGCGGTGGCGTCGAAAACAACGTAAGCTCTTCGAATTGGGGGATGCCTTGCCCGGGGAATCCGATATCCCACGCGATTCAACTCGCCATTGAGTTCCGCCGAGAACCGAGAGCTATCACTAGTCATTGAGTGTCCGCGGTGCAGTTCGCTTGCGCACCACGTGGGCCGGACTTCTCCCTCCTGTACTTCAATCTGGAATCTCCGCAATCATCGCCTCTACTTTCTCCCTGCCACTTTGCGGGGCGGAGAACATGTTGCCAATGATTCTGCCCCAGAGGATCGGTCTCCAACCGAGAACTTCTTGAGATGACAAGTGAATTCTCATAGAATCCATCGCCTATGAACAGATCATTAATCTTCGGTCCGATCTCAGTCTTGTGAGCCCCTCCAATGCCGATGCCACTACACCGTGTAGAGTTCTGCGCGAGGCTGTGAACGATCTCATCCTCATCTGACGCGATATTTCGCGGGACGGCCCTCTTTACGGGCGGCGAAGCCGTCCTGAGTTAGGATTTCCACCTATGTCAAGCGGTCTCTCATCTTGTTTTCTTGAGGGACCTGAGCATCTAGAATCCATGTCGCGTTTAATCAAGTTATCCAAGAACCCTCGTAATCAGGTTTGATCCTTTTGTACGGGACTGACCGAATAGGAAGTTTGACTTGACCTAGTCCAATCGATCCTTCTCGGTATCAAGGAGCGAAAAATCCGCGAATACAGGGAGAGCGGAGATGGCAGGGCGGGAACAGAGGCTGGCCGATTATAATGTTCCGGCGTTGGCTCAATGACTCGAGATTTCGTAGGGGCCCATGATGATTCGATGACCACTGAGAATAACTCTCACCGACAAATCGACCACTCGGAAGCGGTTTCGAGGTTCAAGATGGGATTAAATGCTTTCCGCATCGAAATTCGAAACACCGGTAGTTCGAGGTCTAGCGACAGCGATGAGGTCTGCTCTACGAATTCACGTGTTCCACTCGGCCTGTTTTTCATGGCGCTCGGGCGATACTGGTGAAACATACTACTCATTGTCAGTCGGATGTCGGAGCTCGCAGGGGCTTACACGATGTCGTTTGGAGCCATTCATCCGACAGTCGTATTCACGCAAGGTCGAATCCCGGATGAAAAACACCGCAGCGAATGCTCTAGTCTCGCGAATGACGGTTGATCGCTCATCGACAGTCGGGTCCGGGGCTCCGTCGAACAAGGGCGCGGGAGCATCCCGTGTGCGCCACATGGGTACGAAATTTGAAACGTCATACTAATCCTTCTTCATCTTTCAGAACCTGCCCGTACACGAGGCACTGCCCACCGGGGCAGCAAGTGAAGCACGTGCTGGTGAGTACATGTTGACATTCGTCGTGGAGACCAGAGCTTAAGGCAGATCCAGTCGAGTGGCCAACACTTTTTCAATAGCAGATGTGGAAACGAAGCTGTGACGAACGGACCAGGTCCATTGCGCATTTTAGCCATCCGCACCAAACTATCCTACCCTACAGATAAACTATATCCCTTAACTGTCTCAACCACTCCCTCAGAGAGACCAAAGAGTCTGAGGGAGAACTTCGGATCGAGGACCCATATTTATTCATTCCATTTTGCAATCAGTGCATTTTATGGTTGTCATCGATAGCAAGTGTCTCAAGGAGAGATAAGAATGAACCCATAGGAAGTCGGGCCGCACTCAGATAACAGAGCCATACACACTCCGTCAGCTCTACGCAGTCGTTCACGACAGCTTCAGCCGCTCACTGCGCCACTGTCAGCAGTCAGTCAGGCAGCTAGCCGATGATGGAGAAGAGTAGCTCCTGGGATTACAGTAAATCGGAGGAGTATCCAGTCGATAATGATGACGACGTGGGTGTCCTTCACGCCGTCGAAATCTTTACGTGCGGGAGCGATTTAAGGCCTTGAATTTATCGTCGTCGCTTATATCTTCAACTCAATGAAAACATAACCGACGTTTCCCCTCATTCATGGATTCTCCATCCGCGGCTAATAGCTCATACTAGAATCATAGCTCATACGGAGTACTCCAGTTTGGCCGATTCAATGGAACTCGACTCCTGATATGTCCGGCGGCGGTGGCAGCTCCGGTCTATAGAAACTTCAGATTGTTCGCAGATCTCAGTATTGCTCTCGCTGATTCGATCCCGGGTTCGATGCTGACTTTCGACAGCCCCATTTTCAGTGGGGAAGGAAGGGGTTTTCTATTGATGCTTGACAACATGTCGATTAAGGAGATCCTTCATGTTCATGGACTTGAATTCTGCGGCATTATTACATTCATTCTGACTCTGCAAACCTAATGCCCAGCCGAAGCCAGCTCGAGCGTCTTCGAATGCCACCGTCTCATCCAAGAAGAGCAAGGTGCGGGCGCTGCGGATAGTACACCTCGAGAAAGAAGGTTCTGATTCGGCCAATCGGATCCCTGAGCTGGTAGCGCTGCAGCGCCACCTGCCTTACCATGGTCCTTGGTTCCTTTTACTTCCGAAGTAACTCCTTCGACAAACCCTGCCGGATCTTCTTTTTTCCGTCGAGATTGTTGAAGCTGAGCGGAACGGACATCATCACAATGATCGAGTATCTCATTTCAGGATCCCGGGGATCCAGCACTCGCAAACGGATGCGGGCCTGGGCCCTACGACCTCAGTACGAGGTTCGTACCGGTCCAGGCCGCCTGTATAAAGCACGACAAATGCTACAGCGACTCCCGGTTTGCAATGGAGCGCTGCGACGCGCGCTTCTGGTAAGTGACGGTAATTCGGTAATTGATTTCCAGTACCAGCAATACCAGTGATAATTCCGCCTCTTATTCGAGCTCACGGTCGTTCGGTGATTAGATGCCAAGTTGGTCTAATCTCCTCATTTTTTTCAGGGCCCGCCTGAACGAGACGTGCGCTGCACGTTCTCTAAGCGGGCCCAGGAGCAAAACACCCATTGTGTACCGGTAAGTAAAAAAAAAAACACCCATTGTAAGCTGCTTCCGTGAGATGAGGGAATATTTCTCAATCCTATGGGCTCGATCGATCGTCGACTAGATTCACATTTGATGATCCCGTCTGAAAACGTCGACGGTAATTAGTAGCAATTTAACCGTCGAGAGCATCGCGCTTCTCACACTACTTGTCGACTGTCGACGTCTTCCGCATCAGAATTCCGCTTTCCGGAGGTTGCGCATTCCTTTGCTCAATTGAGCTTCCCACACTTCACTACTGGAGTAAAGAGGGATCAGAGTTGCTCTCAGCCTGCCTTCGGGATCTGCGCTGCGGGGCCGTATCATTGGAGTGCATTCACTGTTCTCGAGGGGGCCGTTGCTCGTCGCCTGCCTGGGCACGCTGGCACCGAAGACCGTATCATACGATAGGAAAATCGAGAAGTCTCGAAATTTTGATCGGCGTGACTCGAGCATTTTCTTGACGCTATTTCGATCAACCTTCAATTAATTGACTCGGTCTGTCGGGCAGAGAATTGCTTGCGAATCGTGTTTTCAAGCAAGATTCAAGCCGTCATTGGTGAATAGTCGCGTATGGGACGGGCTAGGAATGGAGTCCTGAATCTAAACGTGACGTCCCCTGGCGCTTGGAAGCAGGCGACGCTACCGATCTACGCAGGTGGCTTGGTGGTCCCTCCGTCGCGGATCTGTCGACATGCGCGCACTTGGGGTGTCGAGCCAATTTCTGGATCTGGCGTCAAGCATCTCTAATCCGGGAGTCGCGGATGACGGCCCTTTCGCAGAGCTTCCGGGACCGTTGGACAACTTCGCCCGGGGCAATCTCGCAGGCAAGCCTGGACAAGGTCGTCGTGGAGGCCCGTCGCTCCGAACTTTCTCGAGCTCTCCCCGGTCTCATAATTCGTGATCCTTCAGTTTTGCGTTCCTAGAAGTGCTGGAGGGATCCTGCGCGAGATATACATGGTTCCAGCGTTCTGGGAGCTTATGGCTATCGTTTCAGCGAGCCGTAAATGATTCGACCTGACTGCAGGTTCCCGCGCGGCGCGATGTGACTAACACGCGAGTCCGTGATGCACTTGATGTCCCACTGTTTGCACATCTGAACCAACGGGTGTTCGAGTGGTTAGCGCGTTTGTCACTTCTCGTGCATAGCCGCAACGACGCCGCTCGCGCGGGAGGGTGTGGGGTTCGATACCTGCTACCGTATTAATATTCAGGTACTCGGCCTCAATCCTTCTGGGTACATTTGGTCTATGGATCCGTCCTCGGAAGCAATGTGAATAAAAGTACCCGGAACGTCAAGCCTCAGCTTAGTGGTCCCGAAAAAATTTGTTCGCACATCTCAACCAAAACACGGGGGCGTTCCAACAGCTGTTCCCGTTCCAGCCAAAAATGTTGCTCATGTTGGTGCTCATTCTCCAGGTTTTTTTGCAGTCGTCGAAGCAGACGTAAGCACTTCGAATTTTGGGGGATGCCTTGCCTGGGGAATCCGATATCCCACGCGATTCAACTCGCCATTGAGTTCCGCCGAGAACCGAGAGCTATCACTAGTCATTGAGTGTCCGCGGTGCAGTTCGCTTGCGCACCACGTGGGCCGGACTCCTCCCGTCTGTAGCTCAATCTGGAATCTCCGCAATCATCGTCTCGACTTCCTCCCTGCCACTTTGCGGGGCGGAGAATATGTCGCCAATGATTCTGCCCCAGAGGAGCGGTCCCCAACCGGGAATTTCTTGAAACGACAAGTGAATTCTCATAGAATCCATTGCCTATGAACTATGAACAGATCATTAATATTCGGTCCGATCTCAGTTTTGTGAGCCCTTCCAATGCCGATGCCACTACACCGTGTGGAGTTCTGCGCGAGGCTGTGAACGATCTCATTCTCATCTGACGCGGTATTTGGCGGCTCGGCCCTCTTCAGGGGTGGCGAAGCCGTCCTGAGTTAGGATTCCTTTCTATGTCTATTTCAAGCGGTCTCTCATCTTGTCATCTTGAGTGACCTGAGCATCTAGAATCCCTGTTGCGTGAAATCAAGTAATCAAAGAACCCTCGTAATCAGGTTCGATCCTTTTTTACGGGACTGACCGAATAGGAAGTTTGACTTGATCTAGTCCAATCGATCCTGCTCGGTATCAAGGAGCGAAAAATCCGTGAATACAGGGAGAGCGGAGATTGCAGGGCGGAAAGAGAGGCTGGCCGATTATTATGTTCCGGCGTTGGCTCCATGACTCGAGATCTCGTAGGGACCCTTGATGATTCGATGACCGCTGAGAATAATTCTCACCGACAAATCGACCACGCTCAGTATACTCGGAAGCGGTTTCGAGGTTCAAGATGGGATTAAATGCTTTCCGCATCGAAATTCGACACACCGGTAGTTCTAAGTCTAGCGACAGCGATGAGTCTGCTCTAGGAATTTTCGCCCTCCACTCGGCCTGTTTTTCATAGCGCTCGGGCGATACTGGTGAAACATGCTAATCATTGTCAGTCGGATGTCGGAGCTCGCGGGGGCTTACACGATGTCGTTTGGAGCCATTCATCCGACAGTCGTATTCACGCAAGGTCGAATCCCGGATGAAAAACACCGCAGCGAATGCTCTAGTCTCGCGAATGATAGTTGATCGCTCATCGACAGTCGGCTCCGGGGCTCCGTCGAACGAGGGCGCGGAAGCATCTCGTGTGCGCCACAAGGGTACGAAATTTGGATCGTCATAGTAATCCTTCTTTATCTTTCAGGGCCTGCCCATACGAGAGGCCATGCCCTGCGGGGCAGCGAGTCGTGCCGGTGCTGGTGAGTACATGTTGACATTCGTCGTGGAGACCAGAGCTTGAGGCAGATCCATTCGAGTGGCCAACACTTTTTCCATAGCAGATGTGGAAACGAAGCTGCGACGAACGGACCAGGTCCATTGCGCATTTTAGCCATCCGCACCAAACTATCCTACCCTACAGATAAACTATTTCCCTTAACTGTCTCAACCACTCCCTCAGAGAGACCAAAGAGTCTGAGGGAGAACTTCGGATCGAGGATTCATATTTATTTATTCCATTTTCCAATCAGTGCATTTTATGGTTGTCATCGATGGCAAGTGTCCCCAGGAGAGATAAGAATGAACCCATAGGAAGTCGGGCCGCGCTCAGATAACAGAGCCATACACACTCAGTCAGCTCTACGCAGTCGTTCACGACAGCTTCAGCCGCTCACTGCGCCACTGTCAGCAGCCAGCCGATGATGGAGAAGAGTAGCTCCTGGGATTACAGTAAATCGGAGGAGTATCCAGTCGATAAAGATCGACGTGGGTGTCCTTCACGCCGTCGAAATCTTTACGTGCGGGAGCGATTGAAGGCCTTGAATTTATCGTCGTCGCTTATATCTTCAACTCAATGAAAACATAACCGACGTTTCCCCTCATTCATGGATTCTCCATCCGCGGCTAATAGCTCATACTAGAATCATAGCTCATACGGAGTACTCCAGTTTGGCCGATTCAATGGAACTCGACTCCTGATATGTCCGGCGGCGGTGGCAGCTCCGGTCTATAGAAACTTCAGATTGTTCGCAGATCTCAGTATTGCTCTCGCTGATTCGATCCCGGGTTCGATGCTGACTTTCGACAGCCCCATTTTCAGTGGGGAAGGAAGGGGTTTTCTATTGATGCTTGACAACATGTCGATTAAGGAGATCCTTCATGTTCATGGACTTGAATTCTGCGGCATTATTACATTCATTCTGACTCTGCAAACCTAATGCCCAGCCGAAGCCAGCTCGAGCGTCTTCGAATGCCACCGTCTCATCCAAGAAGAGCAAGGTGCGGGCGCTGCGGATAGTACACCTCGAGAAAGAAGGTTCTGATTCGGCCAATCGGATCCCTGAGCTGGTAGCGCTGCGGCGCCACCTTCCTTACCATGGCCCTTGGTTCCTTTTACTTCCGAAGTAACTCCTTCGACAAACCCTGCCGGATCTTCTTTTTTCCGTCGAGATTGTTGAAGCTGAGCGGAACGGACATCATCACAATGATCGAGTATCTCATTTCAGGATCCGGAGGATCCGGCACTGGCCAACGGGTGTGGCCCGACCCGGTACGACCTCAGTACGAGGTTCGTACCGGTCAAGGCCGCGTGTAACGAGCACGACCAGTGCTATAGATACCCCCGGTATACAATGGAAGACTGCGACGAGAACTTCTGGTAAGTGACGGTAATTCGGTAATTGATTTCCAGTACCAGCAATACCAGTAATAATTCCGCCTCTCATGCGAGCTTACCGACGGGTGGTCGAGTGGTTAGCGCGCTTGTCACTTCTCGTGCGAGCATGCGTTTCACTTCGTGAAATGCCGCAACGACGCCGCTCGCGCGGGAGGGTGTGGGGGTTCGATCCCTGCTGCCGGAAAAATGTTCCTTACGGAAACGCAGGTACTCGGCCTTGATCCTCCTGGGTACATTTGCTCTATGGATCCGTCCTCGGAAGCAATGTGAACAACAGTACCCGGGACGTTAAACCTTAGCTGTGTGGTTCAGCCCGAAAAAGTTAGGGACTGGTCCGTTATATTCATTGTGTTTCTTGAAGACCTTCCCCTCATAATCATGACCTAAATGCTTCTTCCACCACGCACGCCGACTCTCATGTTAGTCGGGTGATAATTCCTCTCGAAGAAAACCTTGCCCGCTGTCAAGACATTTTGAGGGACAACGTAATCGCCGATTGCTTCTGCGCTGTTTGGAGGAGGTTCCGGGACCTCGAGACCTGACGAGACGTTCCGGTAAGTGGCGGTAATTCGGCGATTGATTTTCAGTACCAGCAATACCAGTAATAATTCCGCCTCTTATGCGAGCTTACGGTCTTTCGGTGATTAGATGCCAAGTTGGTCTAATCTCCTCATTTTTTTCAGGGCCCGCATGAACGAGACGTGCGCCGCCGCTTATTGGTCGGGCACCTGCGCTGTGAAAGCAGCGTGGATGTACCGGGCCGTGCGCGATCTCGGGTGCTACTTCTATCGGCAGGCCCAGAGCGCCAACACAAAATGCTCAATGGTAAGCTGCTTCCGTGAGATGAGGGAATGTTTCTCAATCCTATGGGCTCGATCGATCGTCGACTAGATTCACATTTGATGATCCCGTCTGAAAACGTCGACGGTTTTTAGTAGCAATTTAACCGTCGAGAGCATCGCGCTCCTCATACTACTTGTCGACTGTCGACGTCTCCCGCATCGGAATTCCGCTTCCCGGAGGTTGCGCATTAAACTGCTCAATTGAGCTTCCCACGCTTCACTACTGTAGTTAAGAGGGATCAGAGTTGCTCTCAGCCTGACCTCGGGATCTGCGCTGCGGGGCCGTATCATTGGAGTGCATTCACTGTTCTCGAGAGGGCCGATGCTCGTCGCCTGCCTGGGCACGCTGGTACCGAACACCGAAGAGTGTATCATCCGATAGGAAAATGCGCAGTCTTGCAATTTTGATCGGCGTGACTCGAGCTTTTTCTTGACGCTATTTCAATCAACCTTCAATTACCTAATCAACGATGATCGACATGGTAGGCGGCGCAGTACGCTGCGGCGGGAGGCATACGAATCGAATACTCTGGAAATTATTCTAAAATACTCTCGAATTTCCCCCCATTGGGGCTTACACTTCATGAATGGATCGGATTCACCGTGGTTGGAGACTATCGCCATGGAATCCCAACTGAGTCGCTTCATGAGGCGCGCATATCCGATGGATGAGGACGGCAAGACAATGAGGCAGGAGTCTTCGATGAGCGTCTCGGTTCGTTGATTCGGCAATGATTGAACGGGTCCCGGTTGATGGTGTGGTGAACCCGAAGGCGCGGACATTGAGAAGAAGAATCTTCAGTTTTTCGGGTAGAGAATTGCTTGCGAATCGTGTTTCAAGCATGATTCGATTCGAGCCCGGCACGAGTCCACCGATGGCGCGTGTTCGAGTTGCAGTGTCCCGAACGGAGTCGTTAACGGTAAAGTCCTCTATCGATGCAAGAAATGGTTGGATCCGAGCTTCCGACGGCGGCAGCGTCATGCTATAGCTCGAGTAGAAGTCGTTGTAGTCGTCGACGCCATGATCGGCAGCGTCGTCGGAAGCAATGCATTGCGCGGTTGTATCAGATGGTAGAACTCCGTTCGATGTTTGTGTAGAAATCGATTATTATGATCCCATATTCAAAACTCCCGGAAGGTGTCACGTCATACTAACATGATTCCAAATGTCTAACGTGATCGTTGGTCTTCTCTCAATCGCAGGGAAATACGAGCGCCCCGAGCAGGACCTGAGCTAGCTCGAGCTGACCAAAGCTAGCCGTAACGTCACACTCACCAGTATATAGACCCGTTGATCGGAATAAAGCTCAAAGCCTCAGTAGTCACCATCCAGACTACACCCAACAACTCTCGTGTATTACTTCCATTCTTCCAACCAACAGCTATTCTGATGTGGACTGTGCGGTAGTCAACTTCCATCGAGACAGGACATCATCGTTCTCTTCCAAACACCGTCCAAATCCATAACCCTACCGTCGCATCAGATGGTAGAACTCCTTTCGTGTAGAGTTCGATTATTATGATCCCATATTCGGAGCTCCCGGAAGGTGTCACGTCATACTCACATGATTCCAAATGTCTAACGTGATCGTTGGTCTTCTCTCAACACGGGAGGCGGGACACGAGGCCCGAAAGTAGTTTCTGATCGGTTTCGGTGGATTCAATGTCCAACCCAACACACAGTGGCAACGTTGGGTCGAGTCAGAGGGATAACAGGTATTATCTCTCTGACTCGACCCAACGTTACGACTGTGTCTTGGGTTGGACATTGAATCCACCGAAACCGATCAGAAACTACTTTCGCGTCTCGTGTCCCGCGTTAAGAGAAGACCAACGATCACGTTAGACATTTGGAATCATTTAAGTATGAGGTGACACCTCCCGGGAATTTTGAATATGGGATCATAATAATCGAATTCTACACGAACGGAATTTTGCCATCTGAAGCGACGGTAGGGTTATGGATTTGGACGGTGTTCGAAAGAGAACGATGATGTCCTGTCTCGATGGGAGTAGACTACCGCACAGTCCACATCAGAATAGGTGTGGGTTGGAAGAAGGGAAGTCATACACGGGAGTTGTTGGGTGTAGTCTGGATGGTGACTACTGAGACTTTGAGCTTTATTCCGATGAACGGGTCTATATGCTGGTGAGTAATGCAGTGAGTGGAGGCTAGCTTAGGTCAGCTCGAGCTAGCTTAGGTCCTGCTCGGGGCGCTCGTATTTCCCTGCAATTGAGAGAAGACCAACGATCACATTAGACATTTGGAATCATGTAAGGATGACGTGACACCTTCCGGGAGTTTTGAATATGGGATCATAATAATCGAATTCTACACAAACGGAGTTCTACCATCTGATACGACCGCGCAATGCATTGCTTCCGACGACGCTGACGATCATAGCGTCGACAACTACCAACGACTTCTACTCGAGCAATAGCATGACGTCGCCGCCGTCGAAAGCTCGGATCTAACGATTTGCTGCACCGAGGGCTAAAGGACATTACCGTTAACGACTCCGTTCGGAACACTGCAACTCGAACACCCGCTATCGGTGGACTCGTGCCGGGCTCGAATCGAATCATAGGAAAGAGTCACACGCTCCACGCAACAACCGTTTTAGCACGGAGACGGAATACCCCCTCATGCCACAAGTTCTAAGTGCTTGGCATAGAATGGAAGACGTGTCTTCTCTTACCGCGCGCTACCTCTTCCCATACCCCGTTCAGCTCTACGATCGCTCAGTGTGTACCAGTAGCCGAACTTACTCCACATGTAAGTGTTCACATTAGACTCCAACAGACTCTGAGTGACAAGTCGGAACTCGATTCCATGCCCTGAAACCTGCCGTGTGGCGTACGAGGAATACCGTGGACGCCTGAACGGACACCACCGACCAGGTTTTACGTCATCGTTCCGGCCTCACTAGATATCAATGAAGAATTCAAGAATGGTATCTCCATGGTCGTATAGAAATAAGCATTCCTGGCCCAAGAGAAACCATCTCGATGACAACTCTTTTCTTATCTCAGGTGGTCGCTGGAACGCTGAATACTCTGGATCTCCAAGTCGGAGCCTCGGGATGCACTCTGAAGAGCGAATACGACCGCGCCCGCTGCAAGGTCCAGGCATCGTCAGAATCTCGCATTGCATCGCCAAAGTGCACGTCCAGGTCTGGATGAAACCCCAGAATGCGGTGACCGAGTGGAATTGTGAAAGTCAAATTCCTCAAACAGACTCGATTGTTATATGGAAACGCCTCGACAACTCCTCGTATCCTTCACTGAGCTTATGTTTTTAGCGTAGAACTACGCTATAGCCCCCGGTAGGTGGACAAGATGGGGTGCGAATCGTGAAAAGTGGTCACAAACTCCATCGTCGATGTTCTCGAAAACAAAGCATTTCATCAGGAAAACTGTTATGGGCAAATATGTGGGAGAGCTTGTGAGGCATCGTCAGAAGGTCATGCCGAACTCGAGAATCCTTTCTTCGGGTTAAAATAGGCCAAAATATAGGCTCGAGCTCAAAGTACTCGAGAAGTACGCATCCTAGCACAAATATCGTGATGGCAAGAAATGTTTAGCTTCGGCAACTTCCACCGTCTAGACCAGCGGTTCCCAACCTGGGAGCCGCGGCTCCCCTAGGAGCCGCGAGACTTTTCTGGGGGAGCCGCGGACGAATTTCTGGTGTAGGTCCGGGCCGTCAGGGTTTGTCAATTCCAAGGGAAGGTTCCGGAACGGATCGACTTCCTCTGCCACGGTTGTGTTCCCGCCATTCCGCCCAACTCTATCGAGGAGTGAACGAAGCTAAAATAAAATCTCACTCGCTTTCACACCACCGCACGGAGCACCTTTTGTTTCCTTGTGTCTTCCCCGCCGAGAACACTTCATCCACCACTAAGCTTTTTCCCGTTAGGTTCGAGAAGCTCAACTCTTCTCTTCCGTCGAGAGAGATTGGACTCATTTGTCAGAGAGCTCTGGTATGCCCGCGAGGCTACCTTCTCCAGCCAGGAGCTGCTTGTCTCCGGAGATTCCCATTCAGTCTCTTTAACGGGGAATTGACGGGAGGGAGGCGGAATATTTGTAAACAATATATGTACATGCAAGCTATGAGTGCCGGAATTGAGCTGCGAATGGTCCTTTTAGGGGAAAAAGAAGGGAGATTAGGTAGGAGCCGCGGGAGCCGCGTGGGCACTGGGTATCCTGGGAGACGCGGGAGCCGCGTGGGCACTGGGTATCCTGGGAGCCGCGGGAGCCGCGTGGGCACTGGGATCCTGGGAGCCGCGGGAGCCGCGTGGGCACTGGGTATCCCGGGAGCCGCGGGAGCCGCGTGGGCACTGGGATCCTGGGAGCCGCGGGGGAATTCCGGGTTCGCTAGGGAGCCGCGGAGCCAAAAAGGTTGGGAACCGCTGGTCTATTCGAATTCCCGGCTCCAAGTGAAAATGACGCTCACCGAATGGACTGAAATCGAGTCGGCGTCGGCGCTCTCTGAGGAATCCTCGTTCTTCAAGAAGCTAAGTAGATGGCCTTCTTGTGCGGATCGCAGTGGGAGGTTCCCTCTGAGCTCTCCAAGAGCACTTCGTTCAGCGGCATGCTTCTTCCCTGGCAGAGGATCACTCAGAAGCTCCAGTACCCTTATGATCTTCTCGACTGAATGATGCTCGTTTATATTCACGGTGAGAATACCATCATGATCATAAATTAGTCGGAGAGTTTCTTCGGTTGAAGAAAATAATTGATCTGGGATTTCCTATTCACCCGATTCTGACAAATGTCGTATTCATTCTGGCTCACAGGCCCTTATGATGAGATTCATGAGATGATAAGACATCGAAAGGATCATTGATCAGCACAATGATTGATTGTACCTATGCTAGCCGTGCCCGTCGCGCGTTGCCGCGAGCATCCCGTGTTCCTCCCCGTTTGTTGTTCTTCCCTTTGCGCGTTTTTCCGATTTTCGCTCTCTTCAATTTCCTCCATCTCCCTTCTCCTTCCGCCCCGTTTCATCTTATATCCTCTTTTTCGTCTAATTTCTCAATTCTTTCCCGTTCCCCCCTGTACCCCCTTTCCTCTCTATAACCCCTGAATCCCCTTTCTCTCTAAACCCCTGTTTCTCTCTTTTTCCCCCTTTGCCCCTATATCCTCCTTTCCGATGCTCGATCCGCTCCTCTCGATTACAACGCTTCCCGTTGTTCCCCCGTATCTTTCACTCATCTCCCTACCTTTCCCCCGAATCTCACGTTCCTCTCGGTCTCGGACAGCACCTTCGTCGGTGAGTTTCAGTGTCTCCGAGGAACGTCTGACAATCGATTGACCCACAACTCTCTCTTTAGAAACCGCCTAATGTCTTGTAGTCCAACCTCTTGCCAAAAAATATTGAATTGCATCGGTCCCGCGCAACCAGATGGAATCAGTCCAGCTTCATTACAGCGGAACCGAAAATCCAAGAACTGAAGAACTTGTCGTCCCTAGGTGTCTATGCGAACGATTTGAGTACCAGAGAACTCAATATCTCGAGTGAATCTCTCCGCTCGCTCGCGATCGGGTAAGGAAGCTCTGTAGTCCTCCATCGGAGCACACCGGGGCTCATCCTCGGTTAGATTCACTTCCAAAGAGATGTAGACAATCGAGCCTAAGGTTTCTGTCTTCCCGGACGAGCAGGAATTGTAATATCACGACCGTCAATTCTCACATCTGGAGTGGGTTACCGCGCTTACATTTTTCATGGCGCACGGGCGATACTGGTGAAACATACTACTCATTGTCAGTCGGATGTCGGAAGTCGCGGGGGTTCACACGATGTCGTTTGGAGCCATTCATCCGACAGACGTATTCTCGCAAGGTCGAATCCCGGATGAAAAACACCGCAGCGAATGCTCTAGTCTCGCGAATGACGGTTGATCGCTCATCGACAGTCGGTTCCGGGACTTCGTCGAACAAGGGCGCGGGAGCATCTCGTGTGCGCCACATGGGTACGAAATTTGAAACGTCATACTAATCCTTCTTTATCTTTCAGAACTTGCCCGTACACGAGGCACGGCCCACCGAGGCAGCAGGTGAAGCACGTGCTGGTGAGTACATGTTGACATTCGTCGTGGAGACCAGAGCTTAAGGCAGATCCAGTCGAGTGGCCAACACTTTTTCAATAGCAGATGTGGAAACGAAGCCGTGACGAACAGACCAGGTTTATTGCGCATTTTATTCATCCGCACCAAACTATCCTACCCTTCAGATAAACTCTTTCCCTTAACTATCTCACCCACTCCCTCAGAGAGACCGGAGAGTCTGACAAGTAAACATTCTTTTTTGAAAATGACAATCGCCTGGTTTGACATGCTTTTTTGAAAGTTTCCGAGCCCCGGAGCAACCCCGAGTCGTTTTTCCCTACTGTTCTGCCTTCCCATTATTTCGCTTGTTTCAAGAAGATAGATATCCGACTTTCAGGAAGAGGGAAACGACAAGGATTTCGGGTCGAACGATGCCACCTCAGGCTCCGGAGATGAAGTGGACTCAGATTTCGACATTGACGAGAATGACGAGGTCGTCAGCGATCAGGAAGATGGACGAAGACCGAGGAAGCGGAGAGCCGTATCTACGGAACCCTACAAAGAGCCTAGAGGTGAGTTATGCTCACTGATAAGCACCTCTTCCAGCTCTCTTTTGCGCGTGAACAGGATAACTGAGCTGTCTGTGAACGTAGCGTCAAGTTCCGTCTCTGTGCTTCCAGCGAGCCGACCCCCGACGGGCGAACCACGAGTAACGAGTCCCCGTCGCAGCATCGACGATGAGCTCATGCATACTTCTACTCCCGAGTCCTTGGGGGAAAGGAAATCCAAGCGAAAATCGACGCAAGCCAAAAGCCAAGCTGTCGAGGCCCGACGGAGACAAGAGGCCGAATCAGCGAAGAATAGGCGTCGGATCAAGAGGGAAGAAGAAAGAGAAATTACGCGGGAAGAGGTGCTCGGGAAGGAAGCGAAACAGACAGAAATTGAGAATATCAAATCATTGGAAAGGTTTGTTTTCTTCCCGGATGCCTATATGTCTCAGCTCTCGAGTTCGCGCTCTGACTACTGCTACGTGTGAATCATCTCTGTCGGGTCATATGATGACGACTTCCTCTGAACTCTATGAATAATCCGCATTCCTCCGCAGGTACCAGCAGCTGGAGATTGAGAAGAAGAAAACGATGCGCGCTAAACAAGTCATGAGAGGTCCAATGATACGCTTCCAATCAATAGCGATGCCGCGCATCGAAGAAGTGAGCCCGTCGGAGGGCGAGGAGGTCTTATCTCTGGACGGAAAACTAGAAGGGAAAATGAACGTTTTGGAAACCGGCCGCTGCATGCGGAACTTCATCACCTTCCCAGATGAATCGATCCTCAAAAAGATCTTCCCTCAACACAAACCTCGCCCGGCGACGAAGAACTTCTGTCCGATCTCACGTCCAACCCGCCAGATACTTCGATCCCGTGACTCACATC